CAGGCTGGAATTCGTGGAGGGAAGCCATGGTGACTGGGGATCCGTGGTGAAGACTGGGAAGTCTTGGACTGAAATGTTGGCGGTTGTGAGAGAACTTGAGCTGAAGCTATTCAAAGCAGGGCTAGAGTTCAGGTCGACCGAGAGGTGAGCTGAACGAGGTGGTTGAGTGGGGATTGATGCGTTAAGGTCCTGGGACGTAATTTTGACGGAGGACTTGGGAATAACGGGGGAAGGGGGTGATTTAGAACATCTTGACGATCGCCTTAGGCGTGAAACTCTTGATGATATTGTATTGTGATGATGATTTGGGGGTGGAGAGAAAAGAAAAGAAGAAGAGGCCTGAGGACGGGAAGATGGAGACAATTTGTATTTCTCAGGCAGCAATCCCGCAAGGTTTGTGCGCTTTCGCTGTAGGTACAAGCCCGGAATAATGGGGCAGAGTCTGACACTAACAATCTCTGCAGTGGTTTTGGTAGGGTTCGCGTTAGCAGACAACTTGTGCTCTCAGGTACTATTCCAAAAGCGCGCCCTTCGGACAGACATGGGTCCGGGCAATGAGTCACACTTTTTTACGCCAACCTTATTAGGACTGGCCGATTTCTTGAGTGCAACCAATTCTGAGACGGCGCATCCTGCGCAAAGGCACCAAGCCTCCACCATAACTGGTACTACCACTGAGGTGCTAGGGTGCATTCTACAATTGGTACAAGTTGGCCAGCCTCAAGGGGGCGCCTTCGGTGTGTGTTTGCTGTGCTCTGCCAATTCAGTACTCTTCCCCGTCTTTTCGCTGTCCTGCTGTGTTGCGTTGCCTGGATGCATGCTGGCGTAGGCTTGAACTAACGAATGCCCGCCGTAAGCAACAAGCAGTGCCCCTGCATCCAAAGCCCCAATTGGCCGAATCACTTTCCCGCCCTGTTGGCTTGAGTGACTTCTACCAATCAGCGTCTATGAACGGGTACCGAAGCCGCCATCACAGAGTTCAGACGTCCACGACAACTTACAGGCCGAGTCTCATTACATGGACATTGTTGCAGCAGTGAAAGCTTACGAGGACAATGATGAAGAGGACAACGAATCCTCTTCCAGGGGCACTCGACGCAGCCACGCATTCATTCATTCATTCACGCATCTCTGATTAGTCCATTCCATTTTGGTGTCTCAGAACTCTCATTCCGCCTTCGAGTCTGCCTCCGGCCCGTCCATCCATACAGCCACGCATTGCTGCGATGACCGGTCGAAAAAAATGTTGGCGGCCTTTTTTTCCCTCATCAATTTCCCGATATTTCAGTGGCAGCCGTCCTAGCCGACCACAATACAGTAAGTGAAATGAGAAACTGACGCATGTTTCAAGTATATCACACTGTGCCTGAAGAAATGCGTCTTTTCTTCCATGTTCGTCGCGGCATCGCATTTCGTATCTGAGCCAGGGAGACGGCCCTAGCCTCGAACCATCAATAAGCCAACATTTTGCCTGCATTGGGCTGAGATGGAAGGATTCAAACTTGATTCAGCCCACTCGTATTGCTATTCTGCCTTTCCACAGTGCATACATGGGATTCATGGGAATGTCCCAGAAATTCGCTAACTTTCCTGCCCTTTCTGCGTATCCGTATCATGTTCCTGGTTCTTAATTGAGTTCCCAACATCTGACAACACCCTCATTGAATGGTAAACCATGGGATCCTAACACAGGCTAAGGCGCTGCGCAAAGCTAGTCTAAACAAGAAGTGGATGGTACTCTTATTTCTTACCAAGCATCTTGAGCCTTTTTCAAGGTTGTTCATGTACTTCGGGCGCGCAAATGCCGACTCAATTCGTACAAGCTTCTTGCCTTGGTGTTTTGCGGAGCCACCACTTTGGGTTGTCGCTCGATGTTGTCCATGTTCTAATTCCGTTGTACGGAATATCTTCTTCAATTCAACCACCAATACTTGATTCCTCAGCGAAACACCAGCCATTAATTCCCTAGCCTGTCCAAGAAGGAATCAGCCTGTTTCTTGGCCCTCCGTGCCGCCATATCCTCCCTCCGCTTCTCAATCTCCCGTCTCCTAGCCTCCTTCTGCTCCTCTCGGGCCCGACGCTGCTCTTCCGTCTTGCGGCGCTCTTCCGCGAGCCCCTCCATCTCCGCCGTTCGAGTCTCTTCGTCCTTGCTGAACTTGAAAAATCCCGTGCCTTTCGTGCGGATCTCCCAGTCTGCGTCGTAGTGTTGCGCTGGCGGCGGCGTTGCGCTACGGTCTCGCTTCCGTGCCAGTTCCTGCATCTTCTCCGGGTCATCGGGATTGAAGGCCATCGACTGAATCGTGTCGCCGACGATGAGATTGCTGGGTGCTGCTGGTCTTGCAGACATGCGCTCAAGCTCTTCGACTCCTAGTAGACCTCGGCGCGCTCTGCGCTCCAATCTGTCCTTCTCTGCTTTGGTAACTTTTCGTAGACGACCAAACTCATCTTCATACTCGACCAACTCGCCGCTGTCGTCGGCTCCGTCTTCATCGCTGCTTGTTTCATAATCTTCCTTCCCTTCTTCTCCTTCCGCCCATTTGCGATCGAAGTCTATTAGGGGCGCGGCTTCATTCTCTTTTGGCACGTAATCTCCTCGCTTCATTGCAGCGTATAGTCGTGCTTTTTCCTCCATTCTGCGCTTGGCTCGCGCCAACTCCTGGGTTTCCTCCTCTGTGCCAGTGACCTCCTTCAGCTCCAGCTTCTTTGATCCATCAGACCCTTTGCTTCGTTTTGGTTTTGCCCCTTTGAATATGTCATCTTTTCCTTCCTTCCGAGGTCGTGCGCGGCCAGCTGATGGTGTCCCTGATGAATTATTCGACATCAGTGATGTCAGTTGAGCAGTGAAGTCGAGCGAGCTAGTTAATGTTGCATCTCGCTTTTGTTTCTTGACTGGTCGCTGACCATACAAATTCGGATCTTGAGGCATCCTGTTCGATACGTTGGGTGGTTTGCGTGTGTTCTTGTGGCTGATAATTGTTGATCATGAAGAGGAAAACAATGTTATATCACTGGGCCATACCGAATGAGACCCATTCATGCTCAGCCTGAGGCAATCAAAGTTCAGTACTGAAGCAACAACTTAAGGTAGTCAAACTACTACACTTTCATTGATCTACCATATCTTCAGGGCCTTGTTATCAATATGATCCTCTATCATATAGATGCCATGAACAAAGTGGGCTCATCAATTGGTTGCCCAATTGGTTGCTGTTTATAAGTCTCCGATGTTGTAGGGTAATCCACCGCGGGGTCATATGGTGTGCTCATATCACCGTCTTCAGTGCCCCGCCATCGGAGCTTGACTTTATTCCTTCACAAGCTTCGTCAACAGTTTCTCAGTACAACAGCAACAATGGCCGCTCCCAAACAAGTTTTCATTGGAATTATCGGTAATTGAAACACTAAAGCTATGAAACACCACAAACTGACAATTGCCAACAACAGGCGCCGGAGGTGTCGGCAAAGCCTTCATCGACCAGCTCCAATCCCTCGCTGCTCGGAAGCCATCACCGAAGCTGAACCTCGCATACATTGCCACAAGCCGTAAAGCTCTCTTCAACGACGACTACTCTCCCCTTAACATCGGAAACGTCATCGAAACACTTGGCTCCTCTACCAAGGCTCCTCTCGCTCTCCCTCAGGTTGTCGAGTACCTGGCTAAGGCCCCCGCCAAGAGCGTTCTTGTCGACAATACCAGCTCTCAGGATGTTGCGGAACTTTACCCTCTTGCCCTGAGCCGAGGCATCAGCATCGTCACACCTAACAAGAAGGCCTTCTCGGGCTCGTACAAGCTGTGGCAGGACATCTTCTCAGCTGCCGAGTCCTCTGGAGCCCGTGTTTACCATGAGTCTTCCGTCGGTGCTGGTCTCCCCGTTATTTCCACCCTGAAGGATTTGGTCGAGACTGGTGACAAGGTTACCAAGATTGAGGGTGTCTTCAGCGGCACCATGTCTTTCCTCTTCAACTCTTTTGCTCCTACCGAGGGCCAGGGCGGCAAGTGGTCTGAGGAGGTCAAGAAGGCCAAGTCCTTGGGCTACACTGAGCCTGACCCCCGAGATGATCTCAATGGTCTTGATGTCGCCCGTAAGCTGACTATCCTTGCTCGTCTGGCTGGCATCCCCGTTGAGTCCCCCACTTCTTTCCCCGTGCAGAGCCTCATTCCCAAGGAGCTGGAGTCTGTTTCCAGCGGCGACGAGTTCCTTGAGAAGCTCCCTGCCTTTGACTCTCAGATGGAGGAGACCAAGGCTGCTGCTGAGAAGGCTGGCAAGGTTGTCCGATTTGTTGGTAGCATTGATGCTGCTTCCAAGCAGGTCAAGGTTGGCCTGGAGCAATTCGACCGCTCGCACCCCATTGCTGCTCTTAAGGGCAGTGATAACATTATCAGCTTCTACACTGAGAGATATGGAAGCAACCCTCTGATTGTCCAGGGTGCTGGTGCTGGAGGTGATGTGACCGCCATGGGAGTGACAGCTGATCTGATCAAGGTCCTGTCGCAAATTGCATAAAAGTCCGTATTGAATAGCCAAAATAAAAGTATCAAGTTTGAAGCCCCAATGAGAATTCACGTATTTCCAGTTCGTTGTGTGCTATCATAATTAAAGTGACCCTTTGTCTATTCCTGTTGCAATTGCAGCAGCATGTGGATTCGTAGTGACAACGCTATCGGGTTCGGAATCGACAATCGAAGGTGGGTTCGTATTACTGATATTCCTCCACATCCAAAGGAAGAGGTCGAAGATCACGAGAAGAAGAACAGGTATGAATAGCATAAGACCAAGGCCGAGCTATCCGTAAATCAGTCACAAGCCCAGGGGAAACTCGGTCGATCTTCACTTACACAGACAAGAGAGATCAGGTTAACGATAGAAGAGTACTCGGTCATTAGAGGACCAAAGAAGTTCCATGATGCGTCGGAGGACATCTGGGGCAATCTGGGTAGCGCTACAGCTTGCTTTGAAGTAAAAAAGCTCATGACTTGGAAACGTGTGATGTTGTGGATGGTAAAATCACAGATTCCGAGGCTGCCTTCAGGGATGGAGGTCGAAGCTCCATGACCCAATGTCCAACGAACAGGGTTTATTTCCGTCACTTAATTGGCATGTGCAAGGCCAACGCTCAGCTCGTCACACCGCCTGCCGAGTATGGATCATTCTGCCACCCGCAAAGCTTCGTTCGCATCAACTTCACAAATTATCACCAGAAATTGACAAGCACCAACTGAATAGCATCAACAGCCACCATGACGACAGAGCTCACAAATAAACAGAAAGAGCGTGAGAAGGATCGCGCAAAGAGGACGAAAGATGGGGTCACTCAACTACCGCGAAAAAAGTTCTATCGCCAAAGAGCGCACGCAAATCCTTTCTCTGATCATATGCTAGAATAGTATGTGCTCTGGCTCATATCAATTGCATTGTTTCTAACTTACTCTAGTCCTAAATCTCCAGACGATATGGATTGGTCCTCATATTTTCCACACTACGTCCAGGAGGGAACACCAGAGGATCCCTCAAAGCCTCCTAAACTGACAAAAGATGTGGAAATTGTCGATATTGGCTGTGGATTTGGAGGTCTTCTCGTTGCTTTAGCGCCCAAGCTACCTGACACTCTCACACTCGGTAAGTGAAGTAAAATGCCGTCAAATAGCATGTGTACTAATGTACCCAGGCCTGGAGATCCGAACACAAGTAGCAGGCTACGTTCAAGAGCGTATAAAGGCACTGCGATCACAAAACTCGGACAACATGTATCAGAACGTGGGCTGCATCCGAGCAAACACTATGAAGTTCCTCCCAAATTTCTTCAAGAAGGCCCAACTATCCAAGATCTTCATCTGCTTCCCCGATCCTCACTTCAAGGCCAGGAAGCACAAAGCCAGAATTGTATCGACAACGTTGAACTCTGAATACGCTTATGCGCTACGACCAGGCGGCATTGTGTATACCATCACCGATGTCGAGGACTTGCACTTGTGGATGGTTCAGCATCTTGAGGCTCATCCTGCTTTCGAGAGGATATCGAAAGAGGAAGAAGAGGCGGATGAATGTGTCCAGGTCATGTCGACTGAGACTGAGGAGAGTAAGAAGGTTACGAGAAATAACGGACAGAAGTTTGTAGCGTTGTTCCGGAGGTTAGAGGATCCTCCGTGGTAGTTGGAAGTCAATGACAACTTGATGCTTTATCGTTTCACAAGATGCTTTAAATATGCCTTGAAACATTTATGCGAACACATTGTGACATGGTCACAATTTATGTAGCGTTGAGCTCCAATACACTCAATGGGCATGCAGCATTCCGCTGGTAACTTCACAAGAAAGATTATGTTGATTTACTCGGAGAAACACAACATCTAACATTCAGACACTCTTGATATTCGATAGGTAATTATTTGTACCTGCAGGCAATGTCACTCGTCTCTGGCGGGTGCTGGCAAGGGTTCCTTGTCCCGCAGACCACCTTGTTTTGACAGGGGTCCATCAAAATGACAGCATCCACTGTAATCGACAGCCACCTCACCTAACCTAACGGCACCTCCACTACCTAGCACCACCAACTTCACCACTTACATCCAATCCATCTTCGTTCAAGAATGTGGCTCTGAGGTCAACATCCTGGTGATGGCCCTCAAGCGTAGAGATGTCATTGTTGTTGGACTCGCCGCCTTCATAGCTTGGGGCTTCGCTGCGAGCTGGTCACCTGTCCTCCGCTGGGCAGGCCATGCTTTTGTTGCTGGCTCCCTTGTTACTCTCGTCGCCCTCTTAGCCGGTCTCTTTCTCGTATCACGACGGCCAAGCGATCGAATACTACAACCACATGGCGTTACTTTCCTCGGTAAGAAGTCATGGCGATTAGAGGTGCATGGACTGCGCCAGCGACAATCATATACTCCGACTCCAATAGACCCCGAATCACCCCGCGTTTCCGAAGCTATCGACAACTTGCTTGGCCTTATAACCCGGGACTTTGTGAATAGCTGGTACTCAAATATTAGTCGCAACCCGTCTTTTTCGAACCAGGTCGATCAAGCGGTGCGGCAGGCGTTACTGAGCTTGACTGATTTCCTTCGTCATAAGGACCTGGCGGAGCTTGTCACTAGCCGTCTTGTTCCTCTCCTCACCGCCCACTTTCGAGACTTCTACGAAGCGGAGAAATCAGTGCGAGGAAAGAAACTCAACCGTTCTGTCACTGAATCTGAAGAGCTGGACCTAGCTATTGCCTCAAAATTTCGTGATGGACGCCTACATCCAGCTGCTTCTTTGTCGTTTCCCGACACAAAGATGGTCCAGCAGGACTACCTCAGGTCTCTTGTCGCAAAGATTGTACCCCAAATACTACCTGAGAACATGTTGTCCAGTCGAGCTGTATCGATTATTATTCGCGAGATCGTTGCGTGCGCCGTTCTGTTCCCTGTGATCCAACTTCTCTCTGAACCAGACACTTGGAATCAACTGATGGAGAATCTGGGCCGCTCAATGCTTCAGGATCGATCAACCGTGAGAAAACTCCGAGCAGCTTTGGACCAGCATGCTCCTTCAACGCCCAAAGCCAACAAGTTGGCTTCCATGCCCAGAGTCGCTCCTGGAGACAGTGAGCGCAAGTTCGAGAAGTTTATCCGTGCTATTCGCAAGGTCAATAACCTATCAGATGCACGTCGTTTTCGTAGCGAAGTCGCTAGTCAACTGAAGAGGGATTCTCTTGAGGACAATCAAGACCAGGTTTACCTTCGTCGATTGGAGATGGGAAAGAGGCTGCTAGACCAACGGGTTAATCATCTTGCTGCTGGTGGCGAACGTCGTCCACCTGGTCCTTTGCCTTTACCATCGACTTCTTCTTCACAGTCCAAGCTAGAGAGTGCGCCACTAGTAGATATTCTGCGAGATTCTTCAGCGCTTTCTTACTTTATGGAATACATGGATCGACAAAATCTCATGCCCTTAGTGCAGTTCTGGCTTGTCGTTGACGGATTTCGAAACCCTCTGGAAGATGATGGCCCAGATGACGAACTGCCATCAACCCTGCCAATGTGGACAGATGCCGACCGCCAGGATTTACAACAGATTAACCAGGCCTATCTTTCGAGGCCAGAGTTAAAGGTCCCGGATCATTCGAGGAATGAAGTCAAGGAGTTCATCAAGGCAGGAAAGTCAGCCACCCCGTTACAATACTATAGAGCGCGGCGAGCTATCTTGAAGGCCCAGAGCGCCGTCCTAGAGGAAATGCGGTCACGCTTCTTTCAGAGTTTCAAGAAGTCGGATCTGTTTTACAAATGTCTTGCAGCTGAAGAAGCAGCCAATATTCAGACTCTCAGATCGACACCACAGCCAGAAGTACAGGCACAGGCACAGACACAGGCATCAGCAACCAACCGTGCGAGCAAGACTTTGCCGGCAAAGCCAAGACCAGTATCGCGGCTGACGCCCCAATTGTCAAATGCTGGGAAACGTACAGGATCTGCATCAGATCTTAAATCTTTGACATCTAATGGTAATGGGCATGGACATCGAGCTAGGCGCTCGTTAGACGAAGGCTCTTTCAATCCTCTATTCGACGACGATGACATCGATACTGATGGACTAGGAGATTCCGTGCAGAGTCTAGATCCAGATGCGAACAGCCAGCAACTACCAGATACCCAAGTTGTAAAGGCAGTAGAACAGGCCTTTACCGATATCATGGAGGATGATCGTCCTCAAACTGCTGAAGCTCTTCGTGCCTCCCTTTTCGGCGGCCCTGGCGGCAGCAGTATCGGAGGTATTGATGATAATGCATCAAGTCTCTTCTCGGGCAATGATAACGAGTCTCATCGTGGCTCTCTGGATATGGGTATTCGACCTGCTATGGCGAACAAGGAAGGCGAGAAACCAAGCCTTTCGTCACTTGGTCTCGTCAGTGCGGCTTCACGAATCGGTGTTTTCGTGGATGACGATCTGTTTGGCGATAATAACAAAGATCTCCCTGACGACGGTGATCCAGATGACGGGCCACCGCCTGACGACGAGGATGAAGTGCATGAAGCAGCACCAGGAGACCTTGGATTGGCAGAAGCCATCACTGCTCTCTCAAACGATATCGATCGCTTGGTGGCGCAGGAAGCGGTTGTGGAATCGTTGACGCGAAAGGCAGAGTTGACAAACAATACTGCCGAGTTGCGCATTCTTAGGAAGTCCAAAGCGTCTCTGCAAAGGGAGATCAGACGCAAGGAGCTCCAACGGCAGCAGTACGTGATTCAGGAGAGCGACAACAGTCTCTACGGCCGCTCGACCATCAAAATCAAGTCCATCCAAGTGGGAAGAGAAGAAGATGGTCGGGAGTTTGCGCTCTACGTTATTGAAGTCCAGAGAAATGCTGGAGAGCAGATGCCTGCGGCGTCATGGGTGATTTCGCGGCGATACAGCGAGTTCCACGAACTTCACCAAAAGCTGCGGTCTCGATACCCGTCAGTGCGAAATCTTGACTTTCCTCGGCGGCGCATGGTGATGAAATTCCAGAGCGAGTTTCTACGCAAACGACGAACTGCCCTGCAGCAGTATCTACAAGACCTTCTTCTCTTACCAGAAGTTTGCCGCAGCCGGGAACTCAGAGCCTTCCTTTCACAGAGCGTAATCACACAAGGTCAAGATATCTTGGATCGCGAAGACAAGAAAGACATGATGACTCGGTTGTATGATTCTGTTGCGGATGGAATGGATGACATCCTTGGAAATATTCCTGTTCTGGACCAGATATCTGAAGCTGGCCAGAACCTCATTGCAGCGGCTACTAACCAGCTCAACGCGGTTCCTCTCAATATCAACGAAGATACGTTTCCGGCCGCTGAAGCTGAGGCAGAGTTGAATGCATTTGAGAATAAGGAACTTGAACCATTCATCAAACCGATCTGCGACATCTTTCTTGAGATTTTTGAGCTCAACAAGGGAAACAACTGGCTTCGTGGCAGAGCGGTAGTAGTTGTTCTGCAACAACTTCTTGGTGGTACGATTGAAAGAAAAGTGCGAGACAATGTCAAGATGCTTGTTCAAGACGAAAACATTCTCAAATACATTGCGTTGGTGCAAGATAGTCTATGGCCTGGAGGCCAGTTACAACGAGATCGCAAACCGCGAACAGCTGCCGAAAAGAAAAAGACACGGACCGAGGCGAGCTTGATGCTGGCCACATTGGTGCCAGATCTCGCAGGTAGTGTTGTTGGAAGAGTCAATGCTCAGACAGCCAGTCGTCGTATATTTGCAACGTTGAACAACTCGAGGTTGAAGTAAGTTCTTTAATTTCATCTCCCAACTTGTGTATGAGCTCAACTAACCCATCTACAGTGCACACCTCGTATTTACTATGATTGATGAAATTGTCTCGGTCCTTTTCGAGGAACCGTAGGGTTATGGATAAAAGATCTTATTGTTCTTCTCCACAAAGCACATGATACAGGGCAAAGCACAGCGAGGCGTTGGGCGTCACTGACAAGGGAGTCAAGTTGGGCTGATACGACGACGATGATGATGATGATGCGGGATTGGGCGAAATGAATGACTTATGGTTTCGTAAATGAAGAAGCCTCTTTTTTTTTGGGGGGGGGCTACTTGTCGTTATAGATGTCCATTCCATGTGTAAGCTGCCGTTGATAGATGGCCATGAAGTAATAGTAATGACAATGGATGAATGAAAGATTCTTGTATGAGGTGATCAGATCACGATTGGATCGTATTTTACATGTGAGTTGCCAGTCTAGGCAAACTACAGCTACAGTAACGTTGTGTTATGTAGGCTTTAATGCAAGCGAAAGCGTTCGCATGTGACGCTAGCGAAGCAGCTTCAGCGCCCGAGATAGCGGGATCCGGGGCACCTTCTCGATCTGACCATTCTGCCGTGTCCTGCCGCCTTTTGGCCCCAGCCTTTTTCGTCGCGTTTAGGCGAGTCCTACCTTGCCTTAGGTTAGTAACTTGCGCCCATGTTCTCTTTCTCCTCTCCACCAACGTCGCTTTTCATATCATCATCATCAAAGTCAATCCTCGTCCAAAACCGCCACCTTCTCAAACCCCCGCGTTTTGACTCTGACTCTTTTGTTGGTCCATCGCGTAACTGGCCCTGGACATTTAATCTGGAATATCCCTGGCTTTGATCCATATACGACTTTCTGCTTCTCCATCTGGATCCCTCTCTTGCTTGACCCGACGACACTCCTCCCAACGGCAACATGACGGAGGTATCAGCCACCCGGCTGTACTTGGGAAACCTCCCTCGCAATGGTCCGGACTCATCGCCCTGACGCTCTCAGTCAAACCACTGACCTGCTGCCCAACAGCTACCAAATCCGATGTCGAGGCTCACTTCGCGACTCATGGTACCGGAGAAATCACCGAGGTTAAGCTCATGAATGGCTTCGGTTTCATCGAGTACAAGGACCCCATGGATGCCCGTGATGTTGTACCGGGTAAGTTATCCCCCCTCATCTTTTGTATTGCGACGCGCTTGCTAATGATCCATCTAGCCTTCCGTATGTCACCACCGTAGACTCCACCCCTCCTCCCTGGCTAACGTGCGACTTCGAAAGATGGCTCTGATTTCATGGGAGAACGACTCACTGTCCAGTTCGCCCGCGGTTCCCGGCATCGCGAGGGCGGTTTTGGCAACCATGAGCGCACCGCGCCACGGCCTCGTCGAACCCCTCATCGAATGCAGATTACGGGACTTCCAAACGATACCTCTTGGCAGGTCTGTTCAATCCTCCCCGTTGCTCATCGCTGGATTTCCTGGACCCTCCCCTTGTGATTTGCGCGCATCTCTGGTTTTTCTGGTTTCGACCCATTGGTACTACACCGGGACTAGGTTTAGGGGACAACTTCCACGGACCCCTCCACCCCCTCTCCCGGTTTTGCTTCCTGGTTGTTGACTTGACGGACTGCACTATCATTTTGTGGATTACATGGACTTCCGGCGTTGCCCTTCCTGGACAGCAACTTACGTGGATTCTGGAAATAGGATCTCAAAGACTTTGCGCGTCAGTCTAGCTTGGACGTTGTCTATTCTGAAACTGGTCGTGACTCGAACGGCCGAGGGTGAGTAGTTGCTTGCGCGTTATCTGTCTTGGTGGCTAACATGGAACAGTTTCGTCGAATTCGAGACTGCAGCAGACCTTAGAACGGCTGTTGAGAAGCTCGACGGGCGTGAATTCAAGGGACAGCGAGTCCAATGCGTTGCTGACGTATGACAAGGAAGCCCCCTCTCCTTGTAAGAACTCAAGTCTGACATGACATTCTAGACTCAGCCGGACATGCCTCCTCGCGAGCGCGGTCGATCCCGCTCCCCAGGACGTCGACCTTATCCTCCTCCCATGGACGACTACGATCGGCGTGGCCCTCCCCGCGGATATAGTCCTCGCGGTGGTGGTGGTGGTTACGGCTACCGAGATCGTAGTCCTCGTCGCGATTACTATGATGATCGCGCCCGTTATCGATCTCCTCCTCGCCGTCCCATGGAGGACTATCCTCCCCCTCCCCCTCGCGGCCGCTACGATGACCCCTATCGCCGCGACTACCCTCCTCCGCCCGATCCCTATGCCAATGGGCGACCTCCTTATGACCGACCTCCTCGAGATTTCCCTCCGCGAGAGGGCGGATACCCACGAGATGGTGGTTATCCCCGAGACTATGATCGTGGTGGACGCTACTGGTAAATCCATATCCCATTACCGCTTTGGGCGCTTGCTTGGCGGGACTGTCCTTGACCGACGGTGCTAGATCTACTCTCAACCGAATGCGCTAAATGGCGTGAAACATTGACGACCAGTCATGAGGTAGGAAGGGCAAGATTGAAACGATCAACAAGCAGGTATGCGCAACAATGATTGACGACCGACTGGTGATATTCTCAACGAGCAACACAAGTGTGAGGGACATTAGGATGGCGTCAGGTGTAGGGCTGAGGATATTACGAGAGTTGACGGTTACCGGGAAAAGCCAAGGGCGCACACGACTTGAATGTCTTGGGTAATATGAACTATAGTGTATGACTATGAGGAAGCCGTCGTGGGTGAGGGTTTGCTTATTTGCTTTTATTTTGTCTTATACTATAACCTGGAGGAAGATTTTGGGACCCCTCACTAAGAGTCGTTACTTGCTAGGTAGTTTTTGCTTTTATCACAGAAAAGGGTCAAAATAATCCAACTTTTGATTTTGTATGTTCAAATTGACATGGCATTACTGCACAACGAGTGAACCTGATACTCGTGATTTACTTCGGACAACAACCCAACCATGTCGCCCCCGTATAGTACAAAAAGAAAGATGCCGGACCGAACAAATAACAGTGTGACGCGCTTTATAAGGGATTACGAAGTGTGTATAGATATGGTATCGGGTATTGTTGGGTTTTGGTATGTGTTCAAGATTAAGCAGTCTTCTTCCATTGGGTGTAGACACCGATGACGCTGCTCAAGGTACCAGTGAGACCGACAATGCCGTCATCGAGGAAGGAAACCCATCCGAGACCGGAGACAGGAACGAGGATATCGCAAAGATCGCAGAGGAGTTGCTTCTTGGCGGCAGCGCGCTCACTGAGGCATATGTTAGTACTAAAGATAGGAAGGCAAATGAGCGCATGTGGAACTTACATGGAAATGGTCTTGCTCTCAACAACACCCTCACCCTCCTTCAGGTCAACCTTTGATGCGCGCACGCTCAGCTGTCGCAGAGTGTACAGCTGACCAATGATGCTAAAGGCGATACCAATAGCCCAGGATCTATAAGCCTCCTGCTGAAGGCGCTTGGCATGCTGCCACTTCCTGATACCGGCAGCATCAGGAATAGTGAGAGCATCGCAGGTCAGGTAACCAGCATAACCCAGCTGGCGACCGACCTGAGTGTACTTGAGGACGGGGTCGAGGGACTTGGAGTCGGAAGCGGTGGCAGCGGCCTTGTAGTGCTCGACGAACTTTCCGGCTCGGAAGACCTTTCGGAACAGGCCGAACTGCTTCTTGAGGGCGTTCCAAGGGGCGACCTTGTCGGGAGTTGCGTTTGTGCGGAGGAGATACCAGGCGTAGAAGCGGGCGAAGTACTGAAGAACTCGCATGAGCTTGTCGCGACCGAGGGTTGTGGCCATGTAACGCAGGTAGTGCGCTACCGTGGGGTGGTAGACGAGAGCGTCAGCGACCATGATTGCGATGGTATCGAGTATAGGCAGGTAGAGAGAATAGGTGGTATGCGACAGTTGGAATATACAGAATTACGATTCACCAGTAAGAAACCAGCAATTACTGATGGGAAAAGGGAAGATGGAGATGGAGATGGGGATGCAAAAGTTAAGTTAAGTTTTACCAGGAACGAGTGAGAAAAAGCTGGGGAAAGGTAAGTAACGCGAATGGAGTCAAAGTGTCTGGAGTAAAGCAAGTCGAGATTGAACGTGGAGACGGAGACTTGACCGAGATGCCGAGGTCCGCCGCTCACGAGAGCGGGATAGTCCAAGGGAAGGGGGAATTGTAGCGAGAGAGATAGGGAGGGATAAGGAGATCTTGTGCAAAAGAATTGCCTTTTTGGGTATGGGAATAATTGCCGTTTACGTAGAAAATCGATAGTTTATACTGTTGCATCGGTATGCTATCCATTCAGTTATTGCTCAGTATTAAAGGGATGATGACCCTGCTAACTTTGTCAACCTCCATTACAGAGAAAGGGAGCATCAAAGTTGATGTCGACATCCGGCACATGTCCGAGGCTTCATCAGGAGAATACCAAACTTCGGGGTAGCTTGGCGCCAATTCTGGCAATGCATTTCAACCTCGGAGACTTTCCGTAAGAGATTGGAATCACCCTCTCTCACTCTCTAACCTCGAGAGTCACAGCTGAACTGGCTGACAGCTGATAGAGAGAGGAAGCTCCCGGCTGACCGGATAACCTTTGATCCGACTCCGGTGTTCCGTAAGAGAAGAAGTCTAGGTTAGGGGGGGACATGCATGCATGATATAAGTCGAGTCGAGTCGAGACTCACTCATTCAATCAATTGCCTCATAACCCCAAATCAAGGAATGAACAAGGTATGAGATAAGGCATTTGGAGTTCCCAATTTTCCATCCTCATAACTCTCCCCCCAAACCCACAATGAGCATATCACTCGGTGTTTCTACTGAAGATCTTTTGAGCGTCGAGGTTCAAAACCCCCGCTTAAACGTCAATATGAGCGAGCCACCCCCACCGGGACAGCCTGGCAGGGCCTGGAAATAGAGGGTCTCTCAGTGGCTGTGACGACAACCTAACAAGAGAAATCGTGATTGGATTCGAGCGTGTCCTGCTCCTCGGGGAACAACCCCCGAAGTCTACCTCCAAATTCGACCGCTGTAAATTGTGGGGGAAGAAGTCGGAGTTGGAGACCCCGGGAAATCCTCTTGAGCCGCTTCCCCTCGGCCGGCAAGAGCACCAATTCCCTTCGGGAGCCCGCTATCAAAGGTCACGATGGCCCATGACATTCCGATATGATGCGCCCCCAATGGAGCTTTTACGTATCATGGTTGGGCCTTTCACTCTCCAGAGTCTCAGAGTCTCGGTCATGTTGTTGCGGGTTGAGTCTCTCGCGGATGGGGCCGTTGATAGCCCCAGTCGGTTAATGAAAACGTATGTACCTAATAATGAATGAATGGATATCATTGATCGTCATATCCGTAAATTGTCGTCAAGACACGGACGCGGTATCCGTAACGTAGAAGTCTATTCCTTTACATAACTGGTCCCGTTTCCCCAATATTCGTCGCGTGCTTCTCTCTTTTCTTCCTCTCTCTTCTTCTTTCATCTTTCTCTCACGATACCCTCATACTATTCCCATCATAACTACCTTCTTGTCTCTGTCGGCTTAAACCTTCTCCCGGTCTAAGTCAAGTCAAGGCCGCTTCTCCAACTGCCCCTCCCGACGATCAACTTCTCCTCCTTTCATACCTATCCTCCCCTCGCAAACACATTCACAATGGCTACTACAAACAGCGGACAAGAAACCGAAAAGGTTAACACTAACATTGTTACCCTGACCCGCTTCCTCACTGAGGAGCAGGCCAAGCACCCAGAGGCCACTGGTGACTTCACGTACGTCGTCCCTTGTGACCTCAAGTTCATGATACCCGGCTAACAACGGAAATCTCAGTCTATTGTGTCACGCTCTCCAGTTCTCTTTCAAGTCAATTGCCTACTACATTCGACGCGCTACCCTAGTCAACCTCACCGGTCTGGCTGGTTCTTCCAACATCACCGGCGACGACCAGAAGAAGCTCGATGTCATCTCCAACGACCTCTTCATTGAGGCTATGCGCTCATCAGGCAAGTGTGCGCTCCTCGTCTCCGAGGAGGAGGACGAGATCATCTACTTCAAGGATGCTCATGACGCTCACTACGCCGTCGCTTGCGATCCCATTGACGGATCTTCCAACTTGGACGCCGGTGTCTCAGTCGGTACCATCTTCGCTATTCACAAGCTCCCTGAGGGCTCCAAGGGTGTCAAGGAGGATATCCTGAAGCCCGGTACTGAGCTGCTCGCTGCTGGTTTCACCATGTACGGCGCCTCTGCTCAGCTTGTCATCACCATGCGCGGTGGAACCGTCAACGGTTTCACTCTAGACAACGGTATCGGCGAGTTCATTCTGTCTCACCCCGACATGCGCCTCCCCAAGTCGCGCGCCATCTACTCCGCCAACGAGGGTAACTCTTTGTACTGGGAGGACAAGACCATCAACTACTTCAACTCTCTAAAGCAAGCTCAAGCCGACGGCAAGCCTTACAGCTCACGATACATCGGTTCCATGGTTGCCGATGCTTACCGAACTCTCCTCTACGGAGGTATCTTTGCTTACCCCGCCGACAAGAAGAGCCCCAAGGGCAAGCTCCGTATCCTGTACGAGTGCGCGCCCATGGCTCTCATCTTTGAGAATGGTACGTCAATTGAATTTTAGTGATTAACACTTTACTAACTATGCTCAGCTGGTGGTCAAGCTGTCGACAGCAAGATGAACCGTATGCTCGAGGTGGTGCCCGAGCACATCCACGACAAGGCCGGTATCTTCATGGGTAGTTACGACGAGGTCGAGAAGGTGAAGAAGTTCCACAACTAAGGGGGGGACAAAGAGAATGGCGCTTTGGCATGGGATTATGAAATCAGTTAAATATCGAAAAGCGAACCTCATGAGTGAATGAGCATTTTAATGATGAATTTATCATATCTTACATTTTTCTAAGCATCATGCAGAGTGTCGTCATGATGAGAAGTCATGATCGTGAGCCATCATGGAGGCGGTTTAACTGGGGACGTCACGCCACCTCGACTGTCCCTTTAGAATGAGCTACAGCGTCTTCTTTGGCCTCTCTTCATGGGTTTTAAATAGTCATATGATCGCGGTCTTGTCAACTCAAGCTGGTATAGAGTACTAGGTACCTTATCTTGGTAAACAATCGTCCCACGAAAACTAGTCGCTATTCCTCTCCACGATGTCGGACTCTAGGTCGTATAATTGCTCCGACACCGGTATCTTCCTAATAGACTGAGCGCTGATTGCTCAGCCGTCATCAAGCTGCATTACAGATATGTTCGAATCCAAGTGTAGCTTGAGATCTCTCTCTACTTTCTTGGTCATGGCCATCTTATCATTCTCTTTCATTTCTTGTTCACATCGTTTTATGGCTTTCTTCAAGATGTTAGATTTGTATCTGTTCAATATACAAACTCACCAGGTCTGACAGAAGCGTTAGAAGCTGCCTTGAGGTATGAAACGACTTGGTACCTTTGATCCCGGGAGAAAAAGAAATTATTACAGAGCTTACCCAATTTGTAAATTAATCTAAGCTTCTTAACTTGTGTCTTGAATATCTCTGTTCCTGAAGGACATGCTCTCATAAATTCCTGCATTGCTTGGGCCCAAAAAGAATTGAATACTGTTTTTATAGCAAAGACGATAACGCAACCGACACTCCGAGAGGGCCGTGGCTGCGATTCTAAAGAAGACAAATGAGTTGGGGAATTCATATTCAACTCCAGTGACTTCCTACTTAGCGCTGTGAGTCTTTTGAGCTACAGACGTCCAATATCCAGTATCCAGCTATTCAAGTTCGTAAACGAATGAGTTGGCTCAACTTTACGCCAACTTATTGCGACACTGCATTTGGAAATCTATATTATTTGATTACGGACTACATGCTCTTGGATACCTGCCTCTCAAAATGCAACGGCTCCTTCGCATAACTCTCCCGTACCCTGAGATAGCATCCATTTACGGCGAGGAATACTTGTATCCAAATTGCTCCTTAGCCTTGTCAACAACCTCCTTAAGCTCTGCACGTTTCCTCATCGTCTCTTCATCCACAGGATCCAATCCTGTCGGTTTGTCTTTACCACTCGGAAGTAACAAGCCCCGCTTCACAGCAGGTCTCTCAAGTATACGAGCAAGCCATGCTTTAACATTCGGGAACTGATCATACGAAATTGTTGTGCCTGGCAGGCGATCTGCCCAGCCGATCAGGGCGATATCTGCGATGGAGTAGCGACCTTTACCGGGCCCAACGATGTAGTCTCGATCTGAGAGACGCTTATCAAGGACCCCAAAGAGACGCTCTGTCTCGCCGACGTAACGCTGTATAGCGTATGGGATTTCTGGCTTGACACCAATGAAATGGAACGCTTGTCCTTCCCTGCTGAAGTGTAAGTGTACCGCCTTGATATTGATGCTCATGACTTACATAGGCCCAATTCCACCATGCTGCCAACCAACCCACGACTCGGCACGAGTATAGTCATCGTCGTCAATCTTGAATGATAACTTATTCTCTGAATCGTATTTCCTTGTCAAATAGCTTAGTATCGCATTGCCTTCGAAGACAGCGAGATCATTGTTGTCATGGTCAACAAGAACAGGGATACGGCCATTGGGGTTGATGGCAGTGAACCAAGGCTCCTTTTGAACATTGAGTCCAATGTCGATGCTTTGTATGGTGTAGTCTAATCCATATGCGTCGCGGAGCTCTTCAAGAAGGATATGGGCTTTGACGCCGTTGGGTGTACCCCAGCTGAGGAGCTCAATGCCCTTGGAGGCGATGAGGCCAGTCGGTCGAGCCATTGAGTAGCTGCGTTTAGGAATTATGGAAGCAGACCTGAGTGGGTAATTGAAGTCTTGAGAAAGCTGTGATCTACAAGATAGAGTAGAACGAAAGGAGAAAGACATATATGGTGGTTTTATGGTTGAGCGCATCGTCATTGAGCGGTGGAGGGACGCCATTTTGCAGTATGGTTACCAATATCGGGACTCCGGAACCGACAAATCATCAATTGGTCATTGGCTCTTCAGAGTTCGCACTTCTTCTCTCGCAATGAGTTAGGCGTGCTGCACAATGTTGTCTAGTCTGGAGTTTAGAATGTTTACTCATCCACGAAGCTTTGTAATCTTGATTACCCTATAATGTGGAATCACCCAAACGCGGAGACGTTTTTCGACTGTCCTGCATTTCAAAGCACAGCTAACGCAACCTCCGCGGAATGAATGCCCTCATGGTCCAGCCATGCTCAGAAGAAATGTTTGGCCTGCGGCAATGATAAAGCAATTCCATATTGTTGTTTGACTGCTGCCAATGATTGAGTTGCAAGTAATCGGCACATCCAGTTCCTCAGGGGCGCTGAACAGATGGCCAAAGAACCAGCTGCTGAATACACCCTCAGACATTCTGAACTTGCCCACAAACATCCTCTCTCAACTTATTTGTCATTCTAGTCAAATCTTGCATGAAACAACTAACAAAAGCATCGACACCAAAAGACAATGAGGGGGGCAACCGCGCGGTAAACGACAGAATACGCCTCGCACGTTTCGATTGGATATTAGCCCCATGATCATGGTGCAATACGCAAGAAATGTCAAGGGATCGGCCCGTTGTTTCTCATCAGATCCTCACGAATATTGTTCAGGGTAGGTCCCAGATCAACGGTTGAGCTGCGCACGGGTGGAATAGTTTCATGTAAATGAGAGGTTCCTCAGTGGACACAAGAGGATACTACAGTAGCACCAACAAATACGCAGCAAAGATGTTTACGGTATTTCGTGTAAAGCATGTTGGATTGTCGTTGCAACCGTAACCCTGCGGGTGATCCTCCGATCCTTCTCGTGGTGGAGTTGGAGTTGGGCTGTGAGTTGATGAGTTAAGGGTCCCCTTTTGATCGCCGTGAGCTTTACCCCAAGAGATATCTAGACGCCCGCGACAGTTCCTCTGAAAGAATACACTCCCCATAGGTGAGAGCCTGGAATCAACAATATAGGACTTCTTTGAGTCTCGAGAATAGCACTTGACGCGTCGTCATCAGTGCCTCAATCACAATACGATAATGCAATGTTGCATTCAACTCGCAACTAATCAGATGTAGACTCAACGCACAGAGCATAGAAGCACCTACGTCACTATCATGAGGTACCAGCAGCCAGCAGCCAGCATCAAATTGGGTTCTGACTTGTTTGGTCTGCGGAGCACCCGCCTCAAAGCCAAGTTTCCCCTTCCCCACCTACGACAACGAACGAGGCCACTTAGCCTTGGAGCTGACACCTGATGATACTGTAGGTACTGCACCCTTGGAACCGGTAGCCAATGCTCTTTGAGTATGGCCCTGCAAGTCTGAGTTCCCTGGGAATAACACAAACACCACAGCCCTTACCTCGATATCCTGTCCAGCCTATTTATCCGCTCTGACTTACACTGAACTGACTTCATCACCCATTGGGGGCCATGCAGTGCAGAACTCTACAGCACCTACAGTGAATCATCCTAGGCGAGGTGATCCAAGACCCAGAAAGCAGGGAAAACACGGTCTCAGAAGCCAGGTTTTTGATCGACCGCTGAGAAAATCCCCGACAGGCTCGCGCTTAGATCTGTGATGTGACGTCTTTTCATGTCGCAGGGTCCTTAACTCCAGCTCCCATATCTAAACTCCATTCAAACGGTTCCCCCTCCCTTGATGATGTCTTCAAACTTGTTCTTTTCAGAAGGGGCACGACAAAGATGGACACAGACGCAGACATGGGGAATATCTGCACGTTTGAAGGATTCAAGCCGCTGATGTAGTTTTGCTTGGACTTGGACGCAGACTTGGAACTTGGCTCTTCACCAACATGTCTCGCAGCGGCTGGTTTCACCCCAAAAGAGTAATCCATACTAAGTTAGCTGCCAAGGGTTCTCTACTTACCATAGCGGACTACCCTTCGTCCTTCTCGTCCCGCCTAATCTCTGAAACCTCAGAGTAAAGGCACTCTGACCAACATGTGCTCAGTGACATGAACTGTAGTCCCCGAGTTCCCAGTCCAATCTCATTGTCACCCTCGCCTATAGAACTACACTCAGATTAGCTGCTTAAACCATCGGAGATCGCCAAGCAGTACCTTGGTTGTGGACTAGCCAGCCTACGTACCGGACGGCATTGTCGTGGCTTCGGCTGGCGGCACCGCTAAGATCCGTCTCTGAGCCGTAGGCGTGGAGTTAATATCCATCACAAAGCGGCCGGTCTGTGGAGTGAGCGAGCGAGTTTCGATTTGTCAAATGCGTATTCGTCGTAGAGGATATGGAGTTGTCGTATTGAGAATACTGTTGGTGATCAGTGGCAAATAGTGAGTTCGAATAAGGCTCGCCGGTTCAAAACGCTCGAAACCTTAGGGTGCCATGGCGCCGACAAAAGCTCCTGGCACTAAACTTTGGTCAACAACGTCTGAAGAAGGCATTTCAAAGATTCAGATTGGTAATCCAACCCCAAAGATCATCAAGACATGTGATGCAACGGCATTACAAAGAATGTCAGGCACTTCTGGGGGCTGCTTCGCTGTTATCCAGCCCTGTTTGTATTCAGCTTAGACGGGAATAAGTCAGCTTTCACGCCCACCTGTCATTGCATCGCAGAGACATTCGATATGTCGCCATTCTTGGGGAAGCGGAACCGTCGTGAAAATGCCACAGGATAAAGATAGAAAAAGCGGAATCACGCGATGGGAAAGTCAATCTGTACTGCAGAGCACAGTAGCGGCGCCAGGCGTGGAGGCGCAAGATAACCTTTCGTGCGAGATGTAGTAACTGCAAAGGGCAAGATGTGAATCATAACGAGTATGCCTCATCGGTCAAAGCCGAAGGGGGACCAAAGAATGAGGGAATCGTGTGCAACATACACAACGAGGCAGAATAATGAGAGCGAATGTGAGAATTGAGAGGAATACGGGGTCGAGCTGAGTACGAGCATGATGAATAGGAGAAGAATGTTATGATTCAGGGTGTTGCGATGTCATGTTAACTCACACAACGTTAAATTGCTAGTATACAGAAACGGTATCAAGATTCGAAGGTTCAGGGGGATTAGCAGTAGTGAGCATGGACAAAGTCCCCTGAGGCTGAGGCTGAAACTGGTGATGCTGTTAACAGGTTTCTATTATGACGATTCCATTGTTGATGAAGCTATCCATGACAGTTGAATACCCAGGTACTGTATGCACAATGATGTGTGAATGTGAGTGTGAGGGGCGTCTTGACTCTAGGCTGCCGTCAATTCAGTGATTATCCGCTAGTTACAGCCTCAATTATGACTGAATGAATGAACTGGATGTACCAGCCTGTCGGCTACCACTCGGCGAGATTCCCATGCAGCCGTTTGTGGATGTGCTTGTGTGTGGTTGTGCCGCATTCGCAATGTCGATGTGAAGAAACAAAAAAAAAAAAGGCACACTTCTTGATCTGGATCTCAAGACCACCCCCGGTCTCCCCTGGTCCTCCGCCTTTTCATCACTGCAAAGCGCTCTCTCCCACGTTAAACTGGCGGACACTGGCACCCCTGTTCGCTTCCCCACTTGGATCACAGGGCGGGGATGATCGAAGCAGGGGGCCAACCGTACGTACCTCTATCTTTAGTCCATCCTTGACCTGAGGCGCAGGGAATCCAATTTGTTAGGGACACCAGCCTCAAGCCAAAAGACATGCACCTCTTTCCTAATGAGGGTGCCATGTTGCGCTCTACCTGTACCAAGAAAACGTGGCGGAGTAGCTCTCTCATCAGTCTCCCCGTCTCCGGCTCCGACTCCAAGGAATAGGCCATGAGGCAACAAGGTATTCCAGGACCCAACGCTGTTAATGGAAAATCAGAGTTTCCGTTTCCCGTTCCCGTCGAAATTCTTTCCATTCTCGCTCTAGTGCCTTGTTCTCGCTCGGCGATTGGGTTTGACTTTGGGTTTGGGTTTGGCTTCTTTTTGCGAATGGAATTACTAGAGCTGTGCAAAATACTGCTGCCTACCGGGGCGCAACCCCAGACAAGAAGGCCGTTAACCTTATGACGCCAATCGCATTTCCCGATCAGCAAATCAATCGCGACAACGTGACTCTAATTGTACACTTGCTCTGCATTTACATGCCAGCCACCAGAGTAGCACTGCATTTCGCTTCGCTACTGTACTGTACTGTACGGTACAGTAAAAGAAAGCTACGACGATAGGAGCAACAACATATTGCCTATTCTGTAGCGTAGTGTTTATTACCTACAAGGTAGCAGTAGCACTCTGCGCTGTCTTGAGATGGGATGTTGATCGCTGCAATGCACTGCCGTATTTCCCAAATTAAACCCGAGCCTGATCCCAGCGAATCGCCGATAACACAAGGTAAGGTGGTGATGATGAACTGTCCCAGGCCAGGCCAGGCACGGGCTACGGGTACAGCACGCAGCCTAACCCAGCATCGCAGCGTAGTGTCGTAGTAGGGGAGAACAAGGTTGCAAGATTGCACTCGTGGGCTTCGCCTTGTGGTTGCGGCGGCACAGCAGGTTACTGTACCCAGAGACCCTGTCTTTCTAACTCTAAGAGCATGGGGTTCACTTCCATCGGGAGGATCCGCATCCGCGAGTCTGAAGCCAAGACAAAGTAAACAAGGGGGCAGGTAATTTAATTTCATTTTTTCTATTGTCGGGTTGCTCTTTTCAGTCTTGACAGCGGAGCAGAATTCATCCATGGATATGTCCATCGAGTTGGGAATCAACAGTGGGAACTTGGCTACAACCGCCCCCGCCCCTTGAAGAAACAACACCATGCCTTTGTTGTGGATGCGTACACTTGACCAATCATACTGAGGATCCACCTCTCATCTTGCTCCCGCCCGTTCAGCCCTACCGCTCGAGGTCACCCCACCCCTGTCCTACTCTTGTCTTTTGCTGCTCTCCTGCAATGGACGCTTCACAAGCCCACGCCCCCTCAGTAAAAATCTCCACACAAGTTCAGTGCTCTAGCAGTGAACAAATCCACTGAAGCTGAGCAGAGCTATCTTAGTGCTCATGTCTCTCGGCACTTGGGGGCTTCATTCTCATCCTCACATTCAATCTAGAACTCTTGGAGAATATTGGCAACAAGCAACATATTCGTCATCGTGAGACACCTGACGTCTCGCCAAGGTAGACCCTGCCGCTGTAGATACCTTGGTGAAAAGATGCGGCTACTCTGTGTTCGGGGAGTGTCGCATGCAACCACGGGCATCACCAAGACCAAAAGACGCAATCTGCTCGGACGGCTTCGCTTGGTCAACCGGCCTCGCCGAAGCCTTATTTCTTAGAGCTTCACCGCTGAGCAAAGATACCCTTCCCCTCATCAACTGCAGCCCTACGAGGAGACTTGTTAGAGTCTGACTGTCATCAAACGGCGGAGCTCCAATTCATCTCCCTAACTCTCATCTCCGCAATTTTCGCAACCACAGCCAACGGATGCCATACCACATGTTGATCATGGTCTTGGGCTTGTGTCTCGATTGCATTTGCATCTGCATCTGCGTCTTCAGCCCACGGAGGAGATGCACTGATTTGGAAATGGCGGACCGAGGACACAGAGCACAAGCTGTCTTGTCAGGCAGCCTTGTAGTGTACCTTGTGCCTGTCTCTCTCTATCTGTACTGTTACCTGTGCTTCAATCAATCACTCACTCACTGTTGGTTACTGCTCATTCCAAGCTCCGATGCAGTGGACCAGCCCTTTTTTATCGTTCTGAGCTACCCGCTGTGTCTTGCATCCCAGTCATCACCTTGAACTGTCGCTCGGTAACACGGCGCATCTCTCCTCTCCTGGCTCCTCTCGTCTTCTGATCAGCGACTGACCACGCAATGGCAATGGCGATGCCTCGAATGGAATCTCCCATTGGAGTATTCTCTTTCGAGCATTTTGCCTTTCTTGATAGTCCGGACTTAAACAAGTTAATTACGTACACATGATCGGACTTAACAGCCATCACGACATGAAAGGGTACAGCGCTGCGCTACGTTTCAAGGCGTTCAAGCCATGTACCTTTGAATTTAACCCAGATTTCTAAACGCGTGTGTCGCATCGCATCCATCCGCTGCGCTGGCGTACGCCCCCTGGTTAACCCGGCAAGTTATTTGCCCATTTCTCATTTTTGGACCCCAAAAACGTTTCCCCTTGCTAGCGACTGACGCTGGCTCTTAATAACCACACCCCACAGCCCTCGCAAATGCCCCTCCCGTCCCCTTCATCTTTCTGGCAGTTGATTGCGGGCGTGCGTGCTGGTGCTGCCCATCATTTCCTACCAGGGGAAACAGGCGTGCCTATCGCGTATTTTTGCTGCTCGGGTTTCAAGCTATCAGATACGCCAGAGCTCCCCGAGCTACTCAGGAAACGAAGCGGGAATGAATGAACCAAAGCTCGGACGCTACGGTACCATTTGGCTTGACTTGTCTCGTCTTGGACTTCACCCTAATGATGAATGACATGGGCTGCGATTGTAGCGTTGTGACTCAGTTCGGGGACCTCGTCTAAATGGTCTGTTGGGGTTTGGGCAAAGAGTCGCAACGAATCTGCAACTCGAGTCTCAATGTCTTGCTTCACGTGAAAGAAAAGGAGAGCAGAGATGCAGGGACATCTATCTTTACTCCACAAGCACGCAGCCGCAGGGATCTTGTCGTGGCTTACTACTCCATCAAGCCAAGTCTCAATCTCAGTCTCACTTGGGGAGTGAGCTTTGATGCTGTTTCAATGAATGATACTCATGGTCTTGCGGTATCTCCATCGCTAAACCCATAAGGTAGCCAAAGTATATCGTCCAGATGGAGTTCTCGGAGACTTTGATTCACGTGTGAGCTTTCATCTCGGGAGGAAAAGTGTCCGCTCCATTCTGGTAATGGCAGTGCCAGTGCTAGGCTCTAGCTTGGGCTCTAGACAGGAAGCTAGTGCCAGCAAAAAGTCTCCGCGCAGGCTCTATTCCCAGTATGTACTGGTGCCAGGACCCAAGCCAACACACCCCTAAAGCAAAGCCGTGAGCTGTGAGTGAGAAAATGGGATGGATCCCCAGAATGCCCGTCCAGTGGCTTGGGGCCTTGGGGAGAGTGAGAACCTTAAACCTACCCTCGTTGACGGGAGACGACATGATGGTACCGAGGAAGTGGTGCAGCATGCTCATGTAAGACGATATCTTTGGTGGTGATATTTGGATGTGAAGAACCAAAAAAAGATCCTCGCAGAGAATGGCTCCGTTGAGTATAGACAAATGGCAAATACAAAGTCAACATTAGACTGAGCTAGCTTCATTTAATGGGCCAATTGATAAAGCGGGAATCCGTTCGCCGACCCTGAGCCGCATAGTCGTGCCGCAAGCCGGCCGTAGGAGGTCCGTAGGTTGAGGTAGAGAGCTAGACCAGAGAGTCAAAAGACGCACGGCAACGGAATCAACAAATGATGAAAACATGTGGGTTTGGATTGCTCTGATGGTCCTTGTCTTGCCAAATAATCATCGTTGTTTCAATTTCAGCCGTGATTCACCTCCAATTGATTTCAGAAACACCAGAAATGCCTGGTTGTATGCCTCGTCTGGCGTGCATGGGTCCGCTACGGCTTCGCCGAAAACCCGTGCCTTGAGTTAGTTGACGCGCAGGTCAATATGCGCCCGTGATGCATGGTCCCCGATTATCTCAGTCAACTTTGTATCTGATGCCAGCGATAGCTTTTTCGGATTGACGTCAACCAAAACAAAAAATAACGAGCAAAATCTTATTTTGTATAGTTGAGTTAGCTTAGTCTTGTTTCTATCATTTAGACGAGGGTATGTTGGAGAAACACGGATTTTGCGGCTTCACAGTGAGCCCAAATCCGCAAAGTCCGCGACGAATCAGAATTACTCTTTATGATGAACGCTTTGATAATGTGCTCACATTATGGTCCCCGAAGAGAGCTTGTCCTTTTTTTTTTTTCTTCTTTTTTTTTAGGCTTGATACCTTAGTTATGATCGACAGCTACCGAGCAAGCAAGCTTAGGTAGCTTTTGGTGAGCTTAGAGCTTAGAGTTTCGCCAACGTAGCGTAGCAGTCAAAGCAAGGTAGTCCCAGTGATCTGGCTCAGGGCGCAGCGGCCGCCTCTGGCCCCCAAGGATCCTTTGTCGACTTGTCAATCAAAAGGCGGCGGCGGACTTTTCAAACAGTCGGACACAATTTGTCAAAAGGGGTGTACCACTGGAATAGCACTACGACTGCCACTACCGGTACTGAGAAACGTTATGAGGACATCGGGATGACAGAGGGGCCAGCACCCATTCATGGCTTGACACTCTCTTCCGGTTGGAGGACACTCTATCAAGCGCCCAACTTGTCATCTCGTAGGGCTGGGTAGATCCTGTCCAAGTGACAACAGGGGGGGCAGTCTTCACCCCCGTGCTCTATGATTGCCATCCATCTGGTGCACTGCTTGATAAGCACACAAACTGTCGGTCTCGCAAAGGATTGGACAAGAGCCGCCGTCCAAGGGGTTATATCAAATACTGAGCCTGAGCCTTATTAGGGAGTGCCGTCTTCAGTTGAATGCAACCCCACGGATCACCCGTGATGTTGATCAACAAGAGGGTGGTTGTTCTGACCAAAATGGCGGGTGATGGATAACGGATAACGGGCGGTGCCACGTACATGCCTACAGCACATGCAACCATTGTCTCAACCACAATCATATCCATGCAGCCTCAGGGGGCAGAAGCATAGCAGCCTGGCAATACTGCGGCTTCATTGGATAGACGCTTCTCCTTTTGAAGTTGCAAGGCGAAGCAGATGGGCCCAGAGATTTGGACCATGCATTTCGACGAATATGCCCAGATTGGGAAACAGGACCAAAGTCCCGTCAAGAGGGGACCCTTTGTGCTGCTAGCATATGCATTCATCTGCGCGTGCGTCTAGCGGCAGTTTCAGCCATCATCGGCGGTCCAGAGTCGAGACTCTCTGTCTCGAAATATCTCATGTTATTTGTTGGGCACTGATGATCCAAGGACTGTCGTTGGGTTGCAGGGATCCTCACAATCGGATAATCACTATCGTTTGAGGAATCAAGTTTCGATGGATTAGATGATATGCTACGTTGATCCAATGTGAAAAAAGCGTGCAGCGCAGTGCATTGCATGGGGCACAGAGCCCAGGTACATGGCTGAGGTGGTCCCGACTGTGAGGTGTAAGGCTGAGTGTCCATGGATCCAATCCAATCCAATCCAAAGGATGGAGGTTACTTCCGGCAAATTGCTGTAGGCATGCAAGTGCCTGCCCACATACCGAACTGCTGCTGGTGTAACTCTACCAAGCATGAGGGAGGATCAATTACTGATTTCCTAATCCATCGATCTGATGATATGTTTTATGGAGCATTTAACCACACGTCGTCTATCTAATCATGCATGTCCTTGATTCTGTTGTGTTGCGTTGCTAAATCCTAGTGCAATCCTTCCCCATGAGGTCCGATGGACAATAGATGGATATCCGTAGGCGTAGGCGTAGGCGGGGAATAAACATAAGAATTCAAGACATACCGCGCGGGAATAGAGCAAAGGCCTATTCCTGGTCAGTGCCACTAACCTTAGCACCACAGCGTGGATCACTAAATCGACTGATTTCCCACCTTGTGGGGGAACGAGCCTGGGTTTGCTATTGGCTAGCTAAGTTACCTAGTAAATAGAATTCGCACGGGAAATGATAGACGGATCGGGACATGGGGACGTGTCAGAAAGTCTAGACATTCTGACAGTCGAACCGGCCTAACGTTATGCTGCGCTGAAGGATTTGTTTGAAAGTGCTGTGCAAACGCAACTCATTAACATACAGGGGTTTAAGGGAAAACATATCCGCCTATGGTGGTGATATCTTCTATTGTGGCAGGGCGTGTAATAATCCCTCGGTGAAGAGGCGATGAGGATATTTTCGACATAGATCATTGCTCGAAAGTTACAGGGCACGTTGACAGCTAAGCTATGTGAGGCAGTTGGAATCCCCAGCCATCCATGTGTGTATGTAAGTTGATAGCCGGAACGGCATCCCGTATGTGAGTTGTAAGGTGGTTACATGTGAGGATTGAGTTGTGTCGAGACTAAACGGATTCACTGATCAAGACATGAGAATCACGAAAAGAGGAGGTGGCAAATTCGCTTGCATCAGCACTCGCGGATATCATCTTGCCTGCCTGTCGTGAATCGGTGCATATCCGAGCTCGACCGTTGAAGCTATCTTGATTTTATCCTGAAGCTAGATGCGGCACAGCAACAAACTAGAACCCACGAACCCGCCTTCTACAAACGGCACTCGGGGATCCATTCAACGGTCTCGCCGCCATCATCTCGGAAATTTACTCGTTCTGTTCTGTTTCTGTTCCTATTCTCAATCAACGGTCTAGGAGCAAGGGCCGTTATTGCGTGCGTGTGTGCCTCAAAAGCTCGAGCCATATAATTCCTAGCCCGCGGCGCTGCTATCACAGTACCCGCCCACCACTCAGGCTTCGCCATGGCACCCCCCAAAAGCAAAGAAAAAGAGCAGTTGAAACGTTGCGACAGCCTAAGGAAATTTGAGTGCGGCTGAGGATCCAATCAAGTGGCCTGGTCGTCCCTCTTGTTCGTGCGACGGCTCAACTGACAACCCCGAAAGTTTATCGCGCTTGACAGCTGGCAGTGTAGCCAATCACAATTGGGTGGGCGCGAGGAGTAAGGACAGGGGTTGTTGAATAAGTCTGCGCCGCACTTTTGTGACAGCAATGCCCTCTGCTAGAATCACTCTCGCGCTTGTTTCGTGAGTCTACGGCTCAACTCGACTCGACTTGATTTGATGCAAGGATTCACATCCTGACTCTATCTCGGACTCTCTCGTAGCAGAGTAGTCCGATGTCTTTTTCACGGCTCCTTCCATGAAACCCACTCTGCTACTCTGCCACTCTGGCTGTTGGGTCATTTCGGGATAACGATTAACCATAATTCAAGGTAGACGATATCCGTACCAACGGGCGCAACCCAACGCTGAGCATTGTTGACTTCTTCTGACATCTTCTGACGACGGACTCGAGAATGCTGCACTTAATTCAATCCTACCGCACGGGTAATAGTAAAAGGGGCTCATGTTAGATCGTGTCGACGCCGCTCTGCCGAGCCCTGGGCACCACCTACGTACATATCCAAATGCTTAGTTATGGCACATTCCGCGGAGCCGGAACTCTCCATGCACGGAGCCGGTGATTTCCTTTTACGGTCTCTACACGGAGAAGGTCAGTTAGCTCCCATCTATATCCGTGATGGAACCCTGAGAGCAAATGACGAGAGGCTTCACGTCAACGCAGCCCTTTCATCATGAGGATTTTTAAGACCAGAAAAGTGCTTAGAATAGCGCTATAGCTACAGACAGACAATTCAACCAGACCGCTTGTTCATGCGTCGTGGATACGTTGGATTTTTAGTGTATTTGAAATTATCTTCAAAGGAGGAGACAGTCCGTGTAAGTGAGCGGCACAATTTCGCCGCAGATAACTCCAACTCCAACTCTCAGCGGGGGTAATCCAAAGAAGAAGGTTGATCGACAATGCTTCTTGTGTCACCCGCTCAACTGGTAACGGGCGCGATTAGAAAACCATGATCAAAAAGATAAGCGCCAGATCGCCAACAGTTGAAGCGGATGTGGTATTGTCATCGAGCATATCGCGCCTCTGGTAGCCCATGAGATGCCATGTGTTGGATGTGTATGTGGTGTGCGTGCTGCCATGGGATCCATCGTCGCAACCTCAGGGCGCAAAGTCTCAGAGGATTCTGGCAAAGCAGGGTAATTTGCCCTGTTGCTGCAAGACGGGTACACAAGCCGAAGGCCTGCCTCGCTACGACTTGTCCTGTGCACTGGACAAAACAACAAGGTTCAGGGACAAGTTGCACATCATTACAGGCAAAATAGCTCAAAGGGGGTTAGTCCGGGCCTCCTCTCTACAGGACCATTAACGAAAGTCAATCTGTGCTAATGGGTCGTCAACGACGTAGGCGAAGGAATTGATGGAACGTCGATCCTCAGGTGGCCCCCAAGGGAATTTCCAAATAAACAAGTTATTCCATGGCGTAGGGTACTGTACTGTATTTCACCCCCTTATGCCTTGCTGGGCATTGTCTCTCCAGAATTGAGTCAAATGCTGCGACGGGTTGCCACTCAACGGTCGCGGGGCAGGGGTCGGCCGCCTGTGAGAAGCGTTTCTGGGTAGCGTCTTGGTGCGGCCGCGCTTAATCTTTACAGCCGGAAGCTTGATCGTGAGGACAGCCGACCCTGCCCACCTTTATTTCGTTGTAGGGTATTTTCTAAACTCTACTCCGTAGCTATTACAGATAATTGAATTCGGTATGACCTCCTTTGACAAATAATAGGGTTTTGGAAAGATTATCTCCAAGACTGCAGATAAGATAATATGACGAAGATGGTTGAAGGTTGTTGTGAGTAAAGCCAAGACGCGAATTTGCTGGTTACGTGTTTCCATAACTGCGAGAGGTGTATCATGTTTGGTCCCTGAACTTGTTGACTCTGCTACAGACATGAGGATCTGCCGTAAATATGGCCCAATTCGACCACGCTCAATACAACATAGACGATTTCTTCAATATGATTTCAGTTACTGTTAATGCCAATACCTGTCATGTTTTATCGATATAGCTAACAAACCCAGCGTCGCTTTGACCCAGCCCAGCCCAGCCCAGCCTAGACAATTGCAACTGTAACTGCAACTCTAACTCATAGTAATATTCCGGTGATTATTCACAGGGGTTCATCGTCCTGTAGCCATGTGGTTGGGTGTGTCGGTTGTCGGGGAACTGCTTGACCTGGGTCCTCAAGACTACGACGGTAGGGATAGGCGCGCAACTGGGGAAGATGGCACGATGTTGATGTCGCTTGTTGTCTTGTGCAGCAGATACCGGTAAGGCAGGATTAGCAGGGGATGTACTGTACGGTAGAGTCATTACACAAGATCTCCAGAGCAAAAGCGGCATGAACAGATCTAAACCGAAATAGTACGAATAGTCGACAGTGACTCTATCTATATACGTACACTTGCTGCTAGTGATCTCTTGTGGCAGGGCTTGGACATTTCTCTGATAAATAAGAACTAATCGTGTCGTCACACAGCCCTACGACGGGCGCTGCCAGAATGAACGACGTGATCGGTCCGGCCAAAAGGTCTTCTTACCCGGGAAAACGGTCCTTGGAGCGACTGACAGACCAGACCATACTCACACTCGAGACTTGTGTGAGAGAGCCTGGGATTGTGGGACTTTAATTGGTCCCAGGGCTGAGTTGGATCAAAAGCTAATCATTTCGGGGTCTCTTTTCTACCACTATGGGGGCTCGGGTCGACCTGTTTCTGATTGGCCAGCCTCTATTGATGTGTTCCCAGGGTTGGGTTGTATTGGAGACTGTCTCCATCGGTTTTAAGAGGAACCCTTTCTCTGGGACAGGGAATTCAAATGGCAGACAAGAGGCTCAGTCAAAACGGTGGATAGGGTAGTCCCAGGACATGGGACTTGAACGTGCCCTGGGACTGGGACTGACCTGGGGGGGCCTGGCATGGGAAGCTAACTAGGGGAAGCAGGGCGAAGCTACGCTGCGCTAGAGACGGAGACGGCAATCGACTCGATGGACTAAATGTGGGAAAATTTAGCCCAGATTTCTATCGAGTCTGCCTTGAAGCTTCTTTGCTGGTCCATGGCTTGATCTCGGGGACATGGTTGGCTCGCTCGTTTAGTGTCCACCACGGGGAGTGCCAGCTTGCAAAGGAACCTACAGTACCTCTGTCTCGTCTCTCTATCAGTTGTCGGCTTTCCAGACGGTTAGAATGGCATCTGCTCTGTTAATAGCGCCAGCCTCTGATGGCTTCTGTTCTATTTTGCTCCCGCCCTTCTGGTAACTTGGCTGCGCCCAGTCGTTCATCGTCTCGTTGTCTCTCCACCGTTGATGTTACGTGACGAACGGTTCAGTGCTGATAAAACACAATACGCTCACATTCCAAACCAAGCCGTATCTGGTATACGATACGTTACTGCTTCATAGCACGGCGCAGTGTGGTGTAGTATAGTTATAGCATGGCATGGCATAGCATAGTATGAGAAGACACAGCAGATGCTCAATCCCGCTCTTTTGACGAGACACCGTTATGTGGGATGGCAGCACTCCCCTCCTCGTCCCACAGCGAGGTTGTTGTGCATATAGGCAGACATCCAGATATTTGGATTCATCATTCAGCATTTCATCATGGTGAATTTGGCTAGCCATAGCACCATGATAATGATAGCAAACCTGCTCACAAATGGATAACGAATTTGTCAGTATCCTGGTAATTGGCTCTATTCGTCCGAATGGAGTCGGAATCGGACATGGCCAGCGGAGTTTATTATAAATCCTTGAGGTAGGTTTTAATGATCGCCTGTCGACAGCACGGGCCGTACTGTACCAAATGAGACAGTTTCAAGTGTATTAGTGGAGGGTTTGTAGTGGCCAACAGTCAGTGCATCTCTCATTTGCCGTCATAAATTCCATAAAACACAAATTGAAGCAATTCCTAACCGTCTCGTCTTTCGCTATTAACAGCCGCGATGCCAAATTACGGCCCTGGACTCGAGAATGAGTGAACGAAATGCTTGGCACAAGGATCGTAGCGAAAGGATTTCGATGCCCCGTAACATCGCAAATGGTCCAGTGAGAGAAGAACGAGTGCGAGCGCCAGTGGAGACAGGCTTGAATGGAAGGTTGAAAAGGCGGAGGTACGTACCACGAGCTACCCTGACCTTGTCTGCAGAGTGCATTGGATTGGGGCTCAGAGGGTGATGAGCACCAGCCCTGTGAGGCCAGCACCAGACAGAGACAGAGACACAGTGACAGAGAGACAGAGGCGAAAGAGCCCCCGCAAGCAAATAAACAACACCCCTCTCCTTGGTTTGGTGCAAGGCCCCAGGTAAGGTAGCCAGGGACCTTTTTCTGCTTGTGTGTGGCCGTGCCGTCTTGGTGCTGGGTACTAACTTAGGTGCGTGCTAGGGGAGAGGTGTGTGTTGTGGAAAGTGGAGGAGCGGAGCCATGGGATGTCTGTGTGTGATGGAGGGGGTAGGGGAAGAGGCGTGTATTCAACTCTACACTGCAGATTCATCAAAGAGACAGAGGAAAGCGCAGCACAGCGCAGCGCTGGATACCCCCTCATGGGTACAATAGGTACCCGTAAGGCAAGGTAGGCACACACCTCACACGCCCCTGCCCTTGTAGGGTCCCTTCCATTCACTCGTCACTCACTCACGTCCTTGGGTCTTTCCATAATGCCATGCCTGCTCCGCGCAGCTTTGGGGACATTTATTTAATATACAGCCTCCTCCCCCTCACCAACCGTCTTGCTCTCCATCTATCTCCAAGTTCATCAACAGATTCAGCTTCAAGTAGCTTCAGATCTTCTTGATCATTCTCATCTTGCACTCATATATACTTATTTACCCACTACCACCACACTCACCTCAAGCAACTCACCACCTCGCCTTGACCATCATAGCCTCTCAGTTCGTTTGGATATAAAGACAGACACAAGAGGACAGACAGATACAGGAAACAATTGAGAAGAAACCAACTCTCTCAATCTTGCTTTGGGCCATCTAGAGCTTCGTCGTTATAAAATCGACGGTTACAATTCTCAGCTACAAGCAACCCCACACTCAAACATACAACAACTTCACAATGTCCATGTTTATGACACAACCCGCCTACGCCTACGCGGCAGCTCCTCCACCTCCCAGACAATACTCGGGAACAAGCAGTGCTTTCAGTGCTTCTGCCAACCCCGATGAGGACTGGACCAAGATCTCTGACCTTGCAGAGCGCCGAAGAATACAGAACCGCATTGCTCAGCGCAACTACCGTACGTTGAGTCTGATTGACTCTAGATTTACTCTAGAGCCTCATGAGCTGTTTTCGCAGAACTGACAGTCCTTTTCAGGCAAGAAGCTTAAGCGCCGTCTCGAAGACCTCGAGCGCCGTGCTGGTTCTTCTGACGATGCCGAGTCCGACAAGCAGCCACAGAAGCCTACCAAGTCGAAGCGATCCCCCTCCGCACCTAAGTCTCAAAAATCGCAATCCGGAGCTCCCAGCAAGTCTGTTGCTTCACAGGGCCAGTTCACTCCTCCCATGGAGCCTACTGACGAGCTTTTCTTCCCCGGCACCTACGACGACCGAGCTCGCTCAGACAGCCCTCCGCAGTTCACATACTCAACATACCCTGCTCCCGATGAGATCCTCCTCGCACCCTATGGTTCCACTCAGTCATACCCAGCCATCACAACCGCTGATGCCTACCCCAACTACATGACAGCGTCTACAGTGCCCATGACACTTCCTTCCATGACACACTTTAGCGATGCCATCAAGCGGGAGACGTACCCTAGTGACGACGGACTCACTCCTTACATGACCTACGGTTACATGCCCCCCATGGACTTCAACTCTGGTAGCCCATACGAACAGTCCAACCCTCATGTGAGTCACGCCAGTCAAACGCCCCGTGGGGTTGTACGAGATCCACGTTGCTGATGGGGTTCGCAGACTCCTCCGCTGTCGCATTCTTTCGACCACTCTGCCAACTGCTCAGAGGCTGGCTTCGACTACCCTGCCACGCCTCTGTCAATGCCTGGCTCGCCTGGTCTAATCCAGCACCAATAGGGCAGCTGGCATGAATGAGAGAAAGAAAGAAACATAGCGAAATTTGAGATTTTGGATTAGGCGTTGGAAATGAGCCCTACGAGGCATAGCATGGCGGGTTTTGATATTTTGAACACTTTCACACTCCACACTATTCACTTCTTTTGGTACCGGCAAAGGTATCTATGTCACAGGCGAGAGGATGTTTACTCGTCTGCATTCGTTTTATGTACACAGGGTCGAAGCGCTCGACCATGTGGTTTCTGTAACGGCTGCAAGATGCACGGACGAATTGCTTATTTGGAATGGCGAAGGAAGAGGGGACAAGTGAGGCGTTTTGGGAATGCATACGGCATACGCTTGTATGCATCCGAATGTATATCGGACAGACAGTGAACTGGATTGGATTGGACTGGACTGGACTGGCAAAGGTTGAAAGCAGGCAAGGAGGCAAACAAACAACAAAGATGGCGGCTGCGGGGTCGAGAGACCTTGGCTTGGCCACTTGCACTCTTGTTAGTGTTGGTTGAATAGATATCTTGAGCCATGGAGACAAATTAGATGATGAAATGTGCATAACGCATTGTACTTGACTACATTGAGGTGAGGTGAACTGTACGAATTAAGAGCTGGCTGTGTTTCATAATGATTGTGATGTGATGACAGTGGCCCATGGATTTAGGACTGATGAGTGAGTCTAGTCTAGATAATGAATGAATGAGGCTGGCTGAACTAGAACAGAGATGGCATGGTATGATATGATATGATAGAGCTTGACCTCCCTTGTGAAGATCAATATCAAGGGACATGCAGGTTGGTAGCGCAGCTCAATTACTGTTTTTGTTTTATCGTTTACCTCGTTTATTATCTACTCGCGTAGACAGACGGAGCTGAATAGATAGAGCCTCGGGTAATGTGCCATAGTGAGTCGATGGCTTGGGAGGGGGGCTTCAGCTCCATGTTCCATGTGCATGTGCATGTGCAAGTTGAGCTAAACGACTGAGGCGGAATCCAGAACTTGCGCCTCAGAGCCTCGTCTACTGTCTCTGTCTGTTGGGTGTCATTTGCCGTATCGCATTGCGTGTTATGTCCCCTCCCTCTTTTCTTCATATGCTACGGAGACTTTTATGCGCTATGTGGCCTGTATGTGAGTGAGTGAGTGAGTGAGCTGTTGCTCGCTCGGCGGTTACCACTAACAGACCGGAGTGCTAGGGTGTGGATGTGGATGCGATGGAAGTATTTTGGGAATTGGATTGGGATTGGGATTTGGGAGACCTTTTCTGAGTCCGAGTCCGAGTCCTACCTCCACGTGCCAAGGAGGGTTGCATGGGCAAATCCGGGCGTCTTGTTGTGTTACAAGTTGGCATTATATCCGTCATGTTATTGGGCGTCTCTCTGTGTGTGCATGGCCTGGCCTCTTCGGTGCCGACGTACGTGGTCTTGCCGGCTCCTACGGCTACGGATAACAAAGAGGAAACCAGGCTCGGGTCAAGATTGACGCCGGGTTCTTGGGAGTCCTGTTCTGGGAGGATTTGGACCCTCGTCTGCTCTAGTGGCAAATGATACCGTTACCGGGAGTGGCGGATGATTAGGAACGAGAGGAGAGATGATAAATGAGAGGGGGATTGAAAGGGAAAAAGGACACGGAAAAGGGTGTGAGTCTGCGTGTAAAAGTTGAGTAGACGGATATCATCTCAACTGTAGGCAGGCTGTGGACAAGTATTGAAATATGCATTCAATTACCAACCTTGACGCTGCAGATCAAACCATGGCCCCCAAATTATTGCAGACAAATCACCAGAAAAGGCGGAACTAACAAGAGGCAAGTTTCGATACCAGTTAGCTAAGTAACAAGGCAAAGAGTCTGGTCCTTTTGCCTGCAGTACAATCCGTCACTCAAGACATGAATTGACTTTACCAGCTCAAGATCATAGACAGGTCTGGACTCGATCTGCCGCTATTCGATTCCGGGCTAGACGTGAATGATCCAACTCACGACCCAGAGACTGTCAACAGCGCCTGGACCAACACATGATGATACCGTTGTTAATTAGGCATCTCGTTGTCCAACGTTATGCTTCTGAGGTGTGAACCTTGTTTCGATCTACCACGGCCGCCATGTCCGTGCGGACGGGACGAGAGAGGTTGGCCAAATCCTATTAAAAGCCATCTTTGAGGTTTATGTTTTTTATGACGTATCTTCGAATTGGAGTGTCTAAAGATGAAGATATTTCGTTATTCAAAACAGAATCAGTAAATGATGAATTGAACATCATGGTTGAGAAAGAGCTGCGTTTACAAGGGATATTGAAGCTTGATAGACTGCTGTACGTAAGCATCTCAACTGCCGACTTGGCGTGGTACTACAAGCAAACTCAATTATGTCATCCATTTAAGCACCCGTTCATACCAAAACATCTGGCATTTCAATTCACTCAGTTCACTTCACTTCCTTGAATTGACAGTGGAAATAAAAGTAAAATGTCAAACAATCTGCAATACATCTTCGGTGGCCCCAAGTACGTATCGGGATCTACCCCCCAAAGACAAGCAAGCTAACTAACATATTCAAGGGCTTGGGACAGTGGTCTCTGGACCGCCTCAGACGATCGCGTCCGCGGCGGCTCCAGCATCTCACACCTCTACACCCACCCCACGCAAGCCAAATTCTACGGCCATCTTGACACCAAGACTCTCGGCGGCGCTGGCTTTGCTTCGCAGCGCACAGTCGGCGACCTAGCACTCGATCTCTCCTGCACAGAGGGCATAAAGCTCTCCCTTGGCTGGGACAGCTCGGATCAGACTTTTACGCTCAACGTAAAGGACACCATCCCTGGAAAGAGGGAGGATGGGAGAGATGAGGCTGGTGTGAGCTGGGAGTACGACTTTAAGGCGCCAGAGAATGGAGGTGAGATTTTCATGAAGTGGGATGAGTTCAAGGCGACATATCGTGGGAGGGAGGTTGAGGATCCTGAGCCGTTGAAGCTGAATGACATCAAGAGAATATCTCTCATGGCACGAAGGCAAGTTTCCTGTGTGTGAGACGGAGATTGGTTGCTAACGTTGAATAGCTTCTTTGATAAGCAGGATGGAGACTTCAAGTTGTATGTCAACTGGATCGCTGCTGTCAAGAAGGATGATAACGACAGCGATGACGATGGTGATCTCAAGAAGCATGCTCTTGAGCAGCGATCTAGCCCTCGTCCTGTATGGAAGAGGCTGTTCTGCGGTCTTTTGTAATTGTACTAGATACCTTCACGTCTTGTGTGTCGCTCACCATGATCGGAACTTGAATACACAAAAGCATTATATCGGGACCAGGGTTCTCTCTGCCTCCTTGGCTTGTTTATTTCTATCAATATTGGCAATTTATTCCTCATGGCACTCTCTGTGATCTGACTCGATGGTTACCTGCAACTAAGAGAAGCTGGCTGGATATTTCAGTGGAATCCTTTTATACAACATGATGCAAACCCCAAGCACTTTCAAGGCCTATGGCCACAGGTCATGGCGTCTCATGGATTTCGACCTCCAAGTACTGCTGGCATTATAGATATCTTCTTTAAGCTTGATACTCGTGACTCTACTGTGCCGGTTTGAACCACAGATGATAACGGTTTGCCTCGATGACCTCTGCTCAGTATTTTCTCCCAAGCATCATCGATATCAACTTTGCACACATCTTTTATAAAGCTGCAATTCTTACAATATACACCCCTAAACCTGACCAACACCGTGTCTCTGATGCACCATCCAACGCCAAAACACCATCAAACCAGGCATGTTAAAGACTTCCATGTGCCTCCGCCCAAGTCTATCCAGCGCCTCCCCAGCCTGCAGTCAGCTAGCTATCCTTATACCTGTTACATGGACCCCCCTTAGTAACCACCCATAGATCTTCCTTCGTATATTTAGACTGAGCCCGTTTCAAAAGTGTCGTTCCTATCCGTCTCAAGCTCGGTCGTTGAGCGGCCAAGATGCTAGATGGAAAAGCTATGTAAGAAGAACGATGCGCCATGCCTTACTGATCTGCGGCAGATCGATAGAAGCCTCTTTACCCAGTTCCGAGGTATGTGAAACAGAATGCAAGTCCCATAACCGTCAGCGGCGTTGGAAGAGAAGTCGATCCAGTGGCTCTGCTGGAGCTCTGGACTTCTCTCGGCGCTTCGAGCCGGAGGGGTTGCGGGTATCAACGATGCAATATGCTTTTGATCCCTTCGCTTTTCCCAGAATACCATAAAAATAAAAATTGCCCGTCCTTCATGAATCGCCGTATCAATGCATAAGGGGTATGTATTGTCACAACGGGACGCTGAGTAGCCTTCCCGATATTAATCTCTCCGCTCTTACATGCCGGACACACCGCCAGAGTTAGGATCCGCGACGTTGTCCGATAAGTTGATAAGCAGCTGGGCAAGGCATCTCTTAGTCGCTGCGTCATCGCGGAGAACGGATGAGAAGGTAGCATCGCGGAGTGGCTCAGGAAGGCACTGTCGCAGAGCCTCACGAGCGCGAGCGTTGTCACTCAACCTAAATGATTATCGATTAGAGCATGGACAACAGGGTAGACATGTGTTTAACTCACCGAAGGAAGCATCTGACGACGTGCTTGAGGAGGCGAGCGGTCTGTGATTCGACAAGTTGAGCAACCATGTTGCTAAGGACCGTGCCAACTGCATAGAAACGCTCGTATGTAGCACAGATGTAGTTAAGACCGTTGTCGTCCAAAAGGATCTTCTGAACGATGAAGATGGCTACGGTCTTGCTAAGTTCCGAACCTGTCTCCATGATGCGCAAGCAGAGAGGAATGATCTCTGTGGTCAAGAGAAAGTTGATGACTTCAGATGAATCATTCTTGACGAGCGCACCAATGACACCCAGGCTCGTGAGCCGGAGGTACTCGAAAGGCCGAGATTTGGAAGTGGTGTTAAGAAAGGGGTAGAGGAACAGAGGAATGTGTGCTATGAATTGTGAGCCATGTGGTCCCTCGATTTGAGCCAAGATATACGCACCATTGAGGAACAGGGTCCTTGTGTCATTGTGAGAAGCTACGCACTGGAGGAGGGCAAGGGCATTGCACACTCTGTTTGAGGCAGCTGCAGTTAGCTGGGATGGGTTAAGAAGAGTATAAACTGAAATGATCTCTTGGAGGAGAGAGGTCATGACACCTGAGAGACATGTTAGCTGGCTTCTTCCAGCTACAGGCTTGGTAGCCCAAGACAACACGGTTTGGGCACGTACCGAATGAATGCCACAATATGAGAGCCAACTCGGGGACCTGCTCGCGCTTTTTACTAAGTTCCAACAAAGCAGCCTCCCGAGTATTCTCGTTGAGAAGATCGGCTATGAAGGCCATGGTACGCCGGTTGTCCTCCGAGACATTGCTGTGATCGGCATCCTGACCGTGGCTGGGGAGTTGACCCGCGCCAGCGAGACGGTTAAAGTGCTGCTGCTGCTGCTGCTGAACGGCGGCGGCGGCTGCAGCGGCCACCTGCTGTTGCTGTTGCTGGGTATGGGCGTGATGCGCGCCAGGCTGCTGGTGCATCCAAGCCGAGTCTCCTCCCTGAGGGTTGAATTGGTGGTGTCCGTAGACGTGCGCCGCTGGCATCATGTTGGGCGTATCTTTTCTTGTTCGACGGGGTTCGGAACGGTGGTTATGGCTTTATAACTTGCAAGTCGAGCAGTAATCTTCTTCGCTAACGATGTAATCTTGGCTGAAGTGTCGGTCGATCGTTCGGCGCAGCGAGTTTGAATTCAGGTTGATGAATCGAGGGCGCAAATGCGGAGGTACACGAAACACTTCCAATGGGTGAAGGGGGAATAATCGGTGAGCAAAGTAAACTTTGTCGGAGAAAGGACTGTATAATATCTGCTAACGTTTCTTTTCGGCTAGATTCCAATCGAGAGGGACTTTGTTGGGTAGTCGGGTGATAAGGCACAGTAAGTAAGTGGGAGGTTCAAACCCAAGCAAGCAAGGTGAGATCGTTTGGCGGGTTGGTTTGTGGTGGTGCTCGCAGGTGCTACTGGGGCAAAGAGCGATTCGGCTTCTGTTGATGGGATTGGTCAGCCTGCTTCTCATTATGGAGCTCAGGCTGTGATAGGTGAAACCGGCTGTGGCATCGGGACTTGACGCTTGGACCATAAACAGGTATCCCTGTATGGTACAATGGCGCAAAAGTCTACATGGCCATGCAAGTGCGGGGAGGTAGCTCTCCCATGCCAACCTATCACTATAAACAACCATTGTCAGCCTTGTACCACCCAAGCCTTGTCACAGCTCGATCTGTGCCCCAAAGACTCGAGGGTTTCTGAGTGACAATCACATATTTCAGCGCCATGGTCAACAAAGTATAGCTTGGCCAGGTAGTCTCAGTCATGTTTAGCATAAAATCTCCAATTACATTCATTTTCTCCTAGCTCTTCTCCAGTACTTTCTCTCTCTGTAAGTGCTATAATAAAATCATTACCACCATGTGCTTTCTTTATGACGACCCATGCTTAGAAGTTAAAACAACGAAAAGCGCCATCGAACTATACAACCAACCACGTGTTTAGTGCCCTCTGTCGCTTGAAATTCCCGGCGGTAGCCAGCCATGCTTCACGTCTACGAACAACGCAACTCCTTCCCAGTGCTTGCTTCAACCAAACTCCCATCTTGCAAATTTCTTCTTAGAGAAGTGTTCAATCATAGCTTATAGTCTCAGTTCTCGAAGAATATGGTCCGCCATGCTCTTGTATTGCCACGTGTTGCCTGTCAATCGCTTGAACTGAATGCCGTGCAATGAGAGTAACGGGACCTTCACGATAAAAATCTCGAACTCCAGCACCATGCTTCCTCCGAGGTCACTTTGCACTTGCGTGCTCGTCTCTCCAGGGATTCGTCTTGATGGACCCCCATTCTTTCCAGGAATACTGTCGAACGAGGTCTCGGAGTTGGAAAAGCTGCGATCTCGATCAGAGCGTCCTGGCGTTCGTGGTGTAGTAGGAGGTCGCTCTGAGTCGCGAAACTCATCCCGCTCACGCTCACGATCGTCTCCCCGCATAAGGCCGCCAAAACTGAATCGTCGCTTATGTCCTGGTGTCATGCCGGGACTCGTGGGAGGGTCTTGCACCTTGTTCAGGTCAATACTGGGCGAATGGCGACAGTTGAAGCCGCCCTTGATCTCTGTATACTCCACGTTTAATTGCTGCAGTACTCGCTTGATGTCGGTCCGAATCGCAGGTACTGACTTGCCCGATGTCGTCGAGACGCTGAAAAGTCCCTTCAGGAACACTGGCTTGGCAAGTTCTGTGTCGTCTAATCGGTCTGTGGATACACCACTCTGCTCGAGTTCCTGATCTGTTTCTTCAGGCACATTGGCCTCTTGAGCAGCCTCTCTTCTTATGCGGCGCTGCTGAATACTTTCCCTCCTAGCATGGCCAATAGACTTGGCCCTCAGGCTCACGGACCGGGAGTGTCCGTGGGCACGGTGTGTGCTGGAAGCATCTTCATTCGCGACGGATTGATCAGAACCACTGGTTGCTGGGGGGTCTTTTCGCCGTCTCAGGTCAGCTGAGTTGACACTAGTCGACCGACCCAGGCCACCTCCTCGTCGGTTCTCCCTTGAACCACCTGCAGACATTGGTGGGCTAAGAAGTTCACCATGCTGCTGGCCACTCGCGGAACGGATTTGTGAATCTGACGCATCCTCTCTATCGCGGCGTCCACGACGGATACTGAAGCTCTTGCGGGGTGCCAAGGGAGAAGGCTCAGCTGGTGAATGGACTTGCACCACAGGAGGATGCGATCGGTCTTTGTCTAGACGCTCAGGGTCCCTACGCTTGCGTGTGCTGAACCTACGCAGAATACCTGCTGCGGTGCCTTCCTTCTTTTGAAGTTGCTCAACCCTTGGCTCGGCGGGTGGTGCAGGGGGAGGTTTCGGTACCTCAGGCATGTCGTCTTCACCATGTGTCCTCGCGCGAGGCCTGCTTCGTCCACCAGTGGGTTTCTCTCCGGGCATCTCATAAGCGGCAGAGTTGGTGTGGGCTGCTTGAGGCGCCGCAATCTCGGGCATCGGCTCTGCCTCCCTTGCCTTCTCCTTTTCACGAATCTCACGCTCCTTTTCTCTCTCTCGGTCTTTCTCACGCTCACGCTCACGCTCTTTCTCTCTCTCCTTCTCTCTCTCCTTTTCCTTCTCTTTCTCCTTGTCGCGTGTTTGAGCTGCTGCTGGCGGAACCATATCAGCATGATCGCGATCCTGCTTCTCCTTGACGAGGTAGTATATGGATACAAGAGGACTAAATGCGTTCATTGGATCGTTACCGATCTGCAGTGCCTCGGAGCTAGGAGCCGATAAAGTATCGCGGCTGTTGCCAGAATTCCTGCGCTTATAAAAGTCGAAACCGAATGGTCTCCTCTTTTCGGCATCCTTAGCGGGTGGAGGGAGCTCCTTTTCTCGTTGATAGAGCTTAACGGCGCGCTGATACTCCTCTGATTCAATTATTTTGGTGAGTTGTGCATTTATACTTTCGGGTGTACCAAAGTTAAAACCCTGCATAGCGAGAATGACTTCTGGCTCCAGGGGCGTCGTTAACGGTTCGCGAACGGGCAGGTAGTTATCGGGAGGACCGTTGAAGCCTTTAGCCATCCATGGATGCGTCATCACCTCCTGCATTGTCGCTCGCTGCTTGGGGTCCGTCACCAGCATGCGGGATAGAAGGTGTTTACACTCTGCAATCCAGTTAGAAGATAGTACAAAAGCAACCCTTGAGTAACCTACCGCTTGACAGCCATGCGGGATAATCGACAAGACCTCTCTTGATCTTGGCATGGAGCGCGGGCATGCTCTGGTCATCGAATGGAACCTTGCCACAGACCAAAACATATAGAACAATGCCAAAACTCCATACGTCAACTTCTGGGCCAGTATAAGCTCTGGCCTGCAGCAATTCGGGAGCAGCAAAGTATAGGCTCCCGCAAAAGGTCTTGAGATGGCCACGCGGAGCAAAGAGGTTACTTAGACCAAAATCGATAATCTTGATGTCGCCCGTCTTGCTGATAAGGATATTCTCAATCTTGAGGTCTCGGTGGACGATGCTATTTCTATGCAAATAATCCAAAGCACTTGCGATCTGCCGACTAAACTTTCGGGCTTGCTTCTCTTTGAGCTTGCCATGCGAGATGATGTAGTCGAGCATCTGGCCGCCGTTGACGTATTCGAAAAGCATATACCAATGGTGGTTGGTACGAACCACATCGTGAAGGGCGCAGATGTGGGGGTGATTCAGGAGGGTGCTGATAGCCGCTTCACGGGCAGTTCGGATTTCCTTGGATTGATCGGCGCGTTCCTTGTCGGCACGAGATTGGTGGCCATCGTCGGTTGAGCCACGAGGAATAATTTTGCAGGCGACCTGGTGAGGTGTGATTAGTATCGTGGAAATTTAAAGCTTGATAGGCATCATCGCGGCCTAGTCATGAGGGGCAGATGGATGAATGCGAATAGCCGAATGATGAAACAATGCGCGGAAATAGGCGACATCAAACAAAAACATAAATCCAAAACACACCTGTTCGCTGCCATCCTCCTTTCGGGCGAGCTTAACCTTGCCCATGCTGCCGGCGCCAATGGTCTTGCCTAGCATCCATTTTCCAGATTGAGTTGGGATAACGGTACGTGATCTCGCGTGCTTAGATGTTGAAGTTCGGGGTGGCGCGTCGGCATGGCCATGCTGCTGAGAAGCAGTTCCATTGCCAGCGCCATTACTGGGAGGGTTGGCGGAAGGAGGCATTTCGGGATGAGGGCTGTGGTGGTTGTTCTTTGATCGAGAAGAGCTCCGTCGATGGGCCCGCGAGGGATCGGGGCCCCTGGCCGGGGGTGGTCGTTCCTTGCTCGAGCTTCTTTGATGGTTTGCGGATGCGGCTAAGCGTGAGGATTCGTAGTCATTTTGCGGTACAGGTTGCGACTGGTGAGAACGTGAAGATGAGGTAGTACGCTGATGATGGTTATGATGAGGGGGGAGATGTGAGTTGGCGGCGTTTGAACCAGAGCGGGAGTGAGAGTGGGAATGGGATTGAGAGCGGGAGGCGTAGGCTTGGGACTGGGATTGGGAGCGAGATTGAGAATGGGAGTGTGAGTGTGATAACTGGCGGGTGTGAGATTGGGTGTAGTTGGCACCTGTTCCAGTGGGCGTGGCTGGTGCAGGCGCTGCTGGGGCCGCTGAAGCGGAAGACGAGGGAGGAAAAGAGGGAGCTGGAGCCCGACTGGAACGAGAAGACCGTGTAGATTGAGTGCGACCAGGTCCTCTCGGTGATGCATCAGCAACAGCAGAAGAAGCTGTTCTTGTTCCCATTGTTGCGAAGCTAAAATGCTAGCTATGCTATGCTATGCTGTGTTGTGATGCGCTGTGCAGTTGTGAGAGATAGACGGTGTAAAAAGGCGGGATGTCGATGAACTGAACGGGTCCCGTCTACTCTGGGGTTTGCTCAAAAGGGCAGTGAGCTGTCGTTCGCTTGCTGTAGTATCAATGCCTAAGTTGGTAGGCAGGGAGGATGACCCGGGTTGAGTCCTTATTAGGCCTTGAAAATGGATTGGAGTAACAGATGCCAACGCAGTCGTAACGTAGTCGTAATTGCTGTTGAATACTAGCAAGGCCCTTGGTGTTTCTGCTGGCCGAGTACGACGTGAGAGGTGAAAGATCAGGATTACCTGGTTACTATCATGGGCTGAGGGCTCTTCTCAGCTTGCGATTTGCGATGACGAGGGGGTGTGATACTGGCAATCTCATAAGAGACCGAGACCGAGACGCAGACTCAGACTCAGACACAGAAAAAAGGTGCTTGGAGCAGTTAGGTCGAATGCAAAGCGAAACTGCGCTATATGCAAAAGAATGATAAAAGTAAGACAAGGGAGAAGAGCCGTAGTCGTAGTCTTGATTTGATATAAACCAGCAAGCAGTGCTACGGCAGTGCAAATCCGAGCCTGATATACGGAGATGGGAATCAGATATAGAAGCTGCTGGCAATGAAAGGCAAGGCAACGCAAATATGCATGCAAATAGACAGATGCAAGAGGATGAGAGAGTAAAGATCTCAAAACCTGACAAGCAGATCGAGTAAGAAAGACAGCACAGCGTCTGTCAAATCCCAAATCGGGGGGCGGGTGAAAAAAGAAGCAGCTTATTAGGTACCAGATTCAGATTGGATAATGGATATTGTAGCTAAAAATGACTTGGTCCTGGCGGGCAGCAGCAGCAGTGGCATGTCCCATCTACTAACCTGGGTTCTAAACTCTTGGATGCCCAGGATACACCTGGATGCCTCCAGCTGCAAGCTGCCGAGACTTCACCACCACCGTCCAGCTGTCTTTGAGCTACCCAACTAGCACAGCAGGGCATCTCAGTCGTTTCAGGGGACTTTCCACTTAGCACGCAGGTAGCTTCATCTTTCCACCAACGGCCAGTCCTTGGGTGGAGATGAGATATCTCGCTCGAGCTGAGCTCTCATTTCGCTGGACTGTCAGGAATGGATCTGTTCACTTGCTAGTCAATAACCTTGACGACATTGTCGGAGTCACTGGTCTCTATTCGAGTTAGTGGTCAACAAAGCCTCGATCGAAAGCCATTGCACATGCTGCAATTGGTAGACTTTGGCTGTTTCGCTCCACGATATCTCTGACCGTTACCAAGCCAAATTCCCTGTTTATAGCAACAACAAAGCCAAGAATCATAATCCGACGTCAGCTACCCAGCCAGAGCACTGCATTTTTGATCTATGAAGTGGATCTGTCGCAAAGTGCTGCAAATTTACGTGGCTGATTAGACGAGGGGTTGGAGGCTGGGGTTTCAAGGTTGGATATCAGGCCTCGGAGCTCAAGAAAATTGCGGAAATGTCTGTTGATTACAATGGGTTATGCAATTCAACTAAGCTTATAATGACATCTTTGTGATTTGGAAGAAATCGAGAGCCTCAATTTAATGCCTTGTTGGACACAGCTGAGGGCTTCGCTTCTTTTCTTATCCTGCAGTCATGCTCACATCTCGTCTCCTTTTTGCGGTAGATGTGTCTTGGAAATCATTGGGCTGGAATGCGACAGTTGTTCCAGAGCCAGAAGAAGCAAAATCGAAGCAGCCACAAGGCGGGCGAGTACATGAGACCTTGCTGCTTGTGTGAAGTGTTGGTGTGATGCGATGCGTTGTGATGCAACACATCCTTGTCTCGTGTTCACTAACACCTAGCAATCACCTCTACCTACCTAGCCACCGTCCTCAGGCGGAATGCCAAGCCAAGACCTTCAGCCGAGGGTTCCTAGACAATCACCAACAATAGCCCATCAGACGCAAAGAATGCCTCACCGAGTCACGTCTCCGAGTTGAGAGGTGTAAGTCAAGCCTGAAACCATAGAGAGATGGAGAGACGAATAGCCTTTTTCGTACTGCTTTAGGATAACTTGAACCCATGGGTGCGAGGGAGGACTATGACGTCTCTGAATGAATATGACATGGTTCACAGTTGAACAGCTTTTCGAAACTGTTTCAACGCTGCGCTTCTGATTGTGTCCTTCCACAAATGGAACGGTCCTCGATTGACAACGTTTCACACGCATGCACTTGCATACCCGACGCTGATGAATCTCAGTTAGACCGAAGTTCTCCAACTTTTGATAGAGCCCCCTGTCACAATCTAAAAAAGATGGTGAACGAAGCCTGACGCCAGGGCCCCCAAAATTTAGGGATGGGTGAAGCCGCAACTCTGTTTCTTATCGATAAGCCCAATTTGACGTCGCGACTCCAATTGTAGCTTCGCGACGACTCAGCTTCTATCGTCATCGCAAACCCTCTAACAACATTGAAGATCTTCTCACTCTCCACATGTTATGACATCAAGTACTAGCATTCAATGCTTTTAAGGAAACTACGCGACACGCCGACATCCCAGTCTCATGTCATATAAACGCTCCCGTGCGACCTACGAAGCCGATCTCCATGCACCCTTTGCAACTTTCGGCACTCCTTTGCCCGATGACCCTGACGCTCGAGATGACGGCTCCTTCGTTCCAGTATGGAAGCAGGAGGTGAGGGATGAGAGAGGTCGAAAACGCCTTCATGGCGCATTTACCGGCGGATGGAGCGCAGGGTTAGTACACAGATCTCTTTTCCAGGACTTTGCGCTGATTTTAGCAGTTACTTCAATACTGTCGGATCCAAGGAGGGATGGACACCATCGACTTTCGTTTCGAGTAGAAACAACCGCCACAAAGATGCCAAAAACCAATCGCAACAACGACCAGAAGACTACATGGATGAGGAGGACCTTGCTGATGCGGCCGAAGCTCAGAAAGTCCAGACTTCTCAAGCATTTGCTGGTCTTGGCTCCTCCGGCCAGGATCCCAATACCGGAGGCTTGATGGGCTTGCTGAGGGCTGAAGGAGATACCATGGGACTGAAGCTGTTGCGGCGCATGGGATGGAAAGACGGGCAAGGCATTGGTCCTAAGATTCGGAGAAGCGCCCGGCTTGAGCTAGGAGATAAAAGCTCTCAGGCTTCTGAAACACATTTGTTTGCGCCTGACAATGCAAAAATGATTCAGTTTGTCCGCAAGAACGATCGAAAGGGACTGGGCCATGACGGAGAAACCAAATTGTCGAGTCTGAATCCTATCACATCTGCAGCCGATGATGATGACGACGAAGATAACTCTCACGATAATGGTCTCCGAAGTTCCTCTTTGCTCTCGCAGAAATCTAAGACTAAGCCTGGCCGAGGCGGTATAGGAGTGGGCATTTTGAATGACAATGGCTCCGATGAGGAAGATCCTTACGAAATGGGACCAAAGATCAGATACAATCGTGTCGTCGGCGGTGATAAAAAGAAAAAGAAGGCGAAGAAGGCAACGGCAGCAATTAACCCTACTCTGAAAAATGCACCTGTTTTTGTGTCTCGAACTGCTCGAGCTGGTAATGGTCTTGGACGGTGTCATGATGGGCGATTACCACCCGATGGGTTTGCACTCGCCAAAATTACAGAAGACTTATCCGATCTCTTTTTGGAATACGCACCGCCTCCGGTCCCAGAAGGATGGGTATCCTCAAAATCTTCCCTAGACCAGGCCAATCCTTCAGATTACAAGTCAACAGCAGATGCTGCGAAGGCATCGACCCATGATGCAAAGTCTAGAGCAGCCCTTCTTGGAGAGAAGAGTCTACCAGGAAAATCGGTCTTCGATTATATCACGAGCTCAGCACGCGACCGACTTGCTGCAGCTTCCGGGAACAAAAATCTACCCCAGGGTTTGGGAGAGCTCCCAGAAGGATTCTCCGCGACAGAAGAGGAAAGACAGCAACAGGTATGGGATGAAGCACCCCAGCTGGATCGTGAGACAGCCATCGCAGCTATTTCTCGAGGCTCCTCTGGACCCTACGCAGACAATGAGGAGAAAAAGGCGCGGTATAGAACGTATTTGGAGCATTTTGCAACGGGTAGCCAACCGCTCCCGTACAAACCTAAGGGCATGGCGTTTGATGACTTTGCCAGAGAATTGTCGGAATTCCACAATTGCGCGAGGATCTTCAAACCGATGACAGGGTTTATGGCATCTCGATTCACCACGGCGAAGAAACCAACAATCGTCTCAGCAAACGGATCTGAGACAGATCTGGTGTCGAAACCTGAACCAAAGATCGCAGATCCAGCAGAAGAGGCAGCCAAAATTGGCATGTATGGGCAAATGACTCGAACAGTCGAAGACTTTTATCCAACAAGACTATTGTGCAAGCGGTTCAATGTCAGGCCGCCCGCGCACTCTCAAGCAGAGGCTGAGGCAGAAGCTGGCTCCGGGACGACAAGCCGTGATGGAGGCTCAGGACCCATGGAAGATGTCAAGATGAACTCAACATTCCCGGCTGGCGGCATCAAGTCAATCGAAGGAGCCCCTGCAAACACAACGCCACCAGCTCCTGAGCCTGAGCACGCCATTAATCCGCATAAGAATGAAGCAGTTGAGGGTAAAACGGCACACGATGAAGTTCTTCGTGCAATATTTGGAGATAGCGATAGCGAATAAATAATACCATCCATAATTGCAAGTCATTGGTCACAAGACAGTTGACGAGTTGTTTCAGCCACTACGTATCCTTTCAACGTCCCCGTTGAACCCAAAACACAGCACTCAAAGTTGAGGAACTTGACATTAGGCTAATGTATTGCAAAAACCTTTAATAGCCAAAAAGAAAAAAAAGAAAAAAAACTATCACCCTCGTTCATGGATGATTATCACCACTCATCTCAAAGATGAATGCCAAGATTAGGCTTACAACTCCAGCGCCTCTAGCGCCGCCGCTCCACTTAGGTGAGCGGCTAGGACCCTGTTAGTATCAAAATAAGTGCTCTGATTGGCTACTCTAACTATATCGCGGGGCTCCAATTTAGTGTCACTCAAGCTTGGGGGGCTCACCTCAGGGGAGCAGCCGCCATCGAATGAGGAATCGCGCTGCCCGTTGTTCTTCCATTAGGACCAATGTGAACCTCACTCACGCATCACATCGCATCTATCACATCACATCGCCAGATATCCAATACCTTAGACAGAGCCTCGAAACGCGGCGAGGCAGCGACTTGCGACACGAGAAAGAACGAGATTCATCCTGATTCGGCTGTTTTGCTTAATTTCCGCCAACCTTTAATGTTTCGACTCCATCACTAGACTGTTTACCTTGCCAACCACCTTTGGAATCAATCACACCCATCCTAAATCGACTGCTTTTTTCCCGCTGCTCCTTTTGTCAACTTGGGGCAGTCTCGTCTTGAACGACTTTGTTTTCTTTTAGAAGAAAGCCGCCATCCTGTCTGAATTTCAGGAAGCTGGAATTGGACCATCAGTGTCCTTGGAGAAGAAGACGCCGTCACCAGACTCATCAAGACCGCCAAGCACGCGAACAACATCAAGTCATCATCGCGAACCGACCCCCGACGACCTCAAATCCGCTAAAGAACCAGAATCACACATTCTTTTGAGTCGCGATCAATCACCCCCGCCGCAGTATCCCGCCTCCGAACCTTCAACCTCTCGTCCTCCCCCCTTCTCGTCGCTCTTTACCTCCCCGCCGCACGACGCTCACGAGCGTCCCGACAAATTCGTCGCTTTTACCGCTCATTCTCCTTGCGAAGCAGAAGCATCAGGCTCAGCTGCACCAGCATACGAATCTTCTTCACCTAGAGAAGCTCTCCCCTTTGATCCGGATCAAAGCACTACTGCATTCCGCGATCCAGTCGCAGAGACCAAGCGCGCACTTCCTCGGGATACCAAGGGAGATTCTAGTCGCAAAGACGACGACGCAGAACCGCCTCCGGCTTATTCAGAAGAGGGCGATAGTCCCCTTTCCACATTCTCTTTCCTAATGGCTGCCGCAGGAGGAGCTGCGAGTATTATTACTCAGGTGCAACAGGGAGGGCCACCTGTTAGCACTCTTGGAGATGTTGGTGCCGATGAGACGATTGCTATGGACCTAAGGTGCGAGTTACAAGTGGGTGTTTGGCTGCCGATGTACTAATTCTCAGATAGGGGCACAAGGTTTTATCTCTCTAGGGACGAGCTGCTTACTTTGCCCGAGTTTGTGCTGCTTTCTTTGTTCCCGAATGGATTGTTCCCTGAGGGCCAAATGGGCGGCTTTGCAGACGGCGATGCAGTACAAGTCGACGTAAGCTAATGCCCTTCCTCACATCGCAAACAGTGGCTTACAAAACTAGTACGACCCAGCTTCACTTCAGTACATGCTTGACTTCTTTAGGGACGTAGCACAATCTATCCCCACAGATGGATCACCAAATGCGTCTCAGGATGAGGATACGCCTTCTCTTGGCACCTCGCGTGACGACTCTAAGCGAGCCGGTATCATTGTGTTGCGTGAGGACCTTGACTTTTATGCTATCCCTCCACGAGCGGATATTGGCCCGCTTGATATGATTGCCGTGAAACGGGCAGCAGCAGAGGCTTTGCAGCAGCAGAACGGCATCTTTTCGGGTCTCAAGCGAAGCGACGAGCCGGGTACTACTGAGGCCCACTTGATCGAGATGCTGACGGCAGGGTAAGTTCACTATCTGTGTTGTTGATAGCTGGCAATGCATGCTTACTTGTACTAGTGGTTTCAACCATGATGATCGATGGGGCCATCGAGCTGGTGAGCCTAACAAGGCCGTCATCTGCAGTCTGGCTCTTGCCCGTCTACGCAGCGACATCCGGGGTAACGAGATGGGCACTAATGCTGTTGGTATGGCCCAGAAACTTCTGCTCTTCTGGCGTAAACCTGCTCGGCGATGCTGGTGGGAGGGTGTCGAGCTTGAGAATGTTGCAGGTGTCGAGGGCAAGCTCAAAGTCTGGATCCGAAGAGTATGGACCCTCGAGATGAGTGTTATTGGCCTGCGCTAGACCACGATCTACTTCTTCCCTCTACCTAGAGATCAAAGACCGTATAACTGTCACCTATTTCTTTTGTCTATCACACTTTGTGTAGCTTTGTTTCCGCCCGCATTCCCCCATGTTTTCTCTATTCCCCCTCCTATTAGGTCATCTTATTCCCCTATTCCATTTTTTCTTTACTATTTCGTCTTCAAGATGAGTGTTGGTGGAGGTTGGTCCCATGCAACTGGGCAGAGCAAAAGCACATACGCGGAAGGAAGAGAAGGTTTTGGCCCATTGAGATTCGCAAAGGGCGGGCGTCAAGGTGCATGGAATCTGGGGGTTCTTTGTAGACCTCCTATATTTTTTCTTCTCATGTTTGATATACAGCACAGGATTAATCCAACTACACGAAGACCATATGTTTCGCTGTGACGTTTCAATGTATACATGAGCAGTGTTTACCTCCACATAGACTTGGTGATCCTGCTGTTCACGGCAGTTTTGCAACCGTGCAGGCTTGTCTCCAAGACCGAGCCGTTATGTTTCGTTGAATATGTGTTCTCAAGTTGCTCATAGCTACTGGAAGCCCCGGACTTGGCCAGTTTGCTCAAGTCATGGTGATGAGCGCTTCGGAGGTAGAGGCATTTGAGCCTCATGGAACTTCAGCAGCAACTCAATTATGCAGTGCAGATAGAATATGAAATAAAAATAAAAATGATACGCTTGCCTACTGTAATCATCATCAGACTTTTAAGGTTCTTATACTAGGTACTGTGGTCTCACTTCAGGTTACAATAAGGTCCCCAAAACAGGAAGACACCATCCTGAATATTTTCATCGACGCCTCGAAGATGGGAATTGAAATGAGTCAAGACTAAGGTACCTTATTAATCCAAAATAAGATCATCTTAGCTAAAAGGGCACATCTCTCTGGAAGTGTAAATTGGACAGCGAGGGCTAAAAAGGAGAACCAATAAACAAGGAAAACTATTACATGCTTTTGTAACGCTGACGTTACATCTATAGAAAGTCTAAAAACTATATGGATTGTTGAACTGTTTTCATAACAGTGCATGAAGCGTAGGATACATCTAGTATCAGTTGTCGAAACCCAGAGAATCAGGAAGGTGAACTCAAGATGAGTTAGAGTGGTCAAAAGGCCTTTTGAGCCCGGTAGAGAATAATCAATCTGTCCGTGAACGTCTGGCGAGCTGTACCATAGGTCCATCTCTGATGGCAACGAAGATATCTCGCAATTGGTACTGATCAACAGTATGGCGTCCTTCGATAGCGTCAGGACTGCCACCTCCAAGATTGCTGCTGAAATCACGTCGGATCTCAAAGTGGTAAACAATCTTGGCCAGAGCCAGACTCATCTCAAGATAAGCCAGGTTCTTCCCGACGCATCCTCGAGGGCCTGCAGAGAAAGGCATAAAGGCACTCTCGGCTAGAGAGACACTCTCAGGAGAAACACCAAACTCATTCTTCTCATCAACAATCCAACGCTCTGGACGGAACTTGAATGGTTCGGGATAGATGTCAGGATTGTGGTGCATGCAGTATGATGCGGTGCTGACTTTCATGCCCTGCGGAATATACTCCCCGTCAACGAGAATTCCACCTTCTTGAACTTCTCGTGAAAGATCTGCTGGAACAGGTGGGCTCATACGCAGCGTCTCGTCAATGACGGCTCTAAGATATTGACAGGAGTAAAGAGCTGGACCACCCTTGATGTCGTCCACGCTGGAAAAGACAGACTTAACTTCCCTTGCAAGCTTTTGTTGAACATGTGGGTATCGAGAAAGGTAAAAGAAAGAAGCGGCGAGACTTATAGCCGAGGTGTCGGAGCCGGCAATTATAAGAGACTCGCTCTCGCCAAAAAGCTCATCTTTGCTGTACCCTTTTCCAGTATCGGGGTCCACGGCCTGGAAGAGATAGTGAAAGAAGTCTTTTCGGCTATCACCTTTCTCCCATACGCCTCGCATCTCGTTTTCGGCTTGGACTCTCTCAGTGAAGCATTGCTCGACAAAAGCCTGCCACTTGCTAAAGGCTGGAGGAGCTGCTTCTGCAAGAAGATAATCTAAACCTCGGGGCTTGAGCCATGCCCAGAGAGGAGCAAAAGGGGAGTAGGAAATCTAACATCCAACATTAATAAGAGATTCATCTTGGGTGTTTTGGATCTTACCGGGTGGATTGTCGACATAAAGTCAGTCATGAGTGTTGGAATGTGTCGTAACTCGCTATCGTGCTCCTTCATGCCAAACGATTTGCCAAAACATAACTCTCCAAGGGTATCGAAGACGAGATGATCCGCCCAACGAGCCATGTTCAAAGAGGGAGACCATTTCTTCTCTCCAATCTCTTGGTCGAGCAGCTCAATCCATCGGTCAATGTTGGAATGGATGAAAGGCTCGCAGGAGCGTAGTGCTTTGTCGGAAAAGGCATGGTTCATAACTCGCCTCTTTCGAGCATGCATAGTCTTGTCGATAGTGTTCCATGTTGTCATGACATGAACACTACGTGGGTATGTCTTATAGTATTCGGCCTTTTTGACATTTGCCTTGTTGTTAAAAATGGTCTTGAGGCCGGTGGGAGTGTTGATCAAGACACTATTGGGGGTAATACGAAAGGTTGGACCTGAATGATATTTGTTAAATTCAATGCTCTAATAACTTGTGTTATTTATCTAATGCTCACCGTATTTCTCTTGCAGTTGCCAGAACCATACATGTCGATCCTGTCTGAGAGTGTAGTAGTATGCAGGGACTGCTGAGATGCGTGCCCAAAAGGGGCCAGGATATTTGGCGAGGGGATGAAAGTATAATCTGTAAACCACAACAGCGGCTACATAGCAAAAGAATAGAAAAGTTATCCCCCAGATAATCTGTGAGGAAGACAGAATGGCCACTGCGTTGATGATAGCCATGACTTGTGCTTGTCTGTTGAACAACGAGACGGAAGAGAACTTGCTAACAAGAGATGGTCAGGCTATTAAAGAGATCAGTAAGTCCCAAGATATGACGAAAGCATGTATTGGATTCTATCGTAAAATGACCTGTAGCATTCCGACCTGTATTATGGGCGCATATGATCGATATTGTGCGTGGCCTGTGGAGTGTGATGATAGGGACGTGTTGACGATGTGGCTGGCTGCGCATGCACCCCTTGTCAATCAGGAATACCCCTTTCAGCCATTGCGACTATCGTGACGTTCTGACTGACCTCAGGGAATGGTGGAGGGTAAGATGTGGGTGTGTGCATGGTTGAAGTGATAAAGTTGGACAGACATTCTACTATGAATGTTTGACGTTAGAAATATTTAACATCTAAGCCTTCTTCCTTTCCAGTTCTGTTGGTTCATGACTCAATCCTAACTAGGCCAAAACTCCAAGCGTGAGCTTCGGTATATACTGGCTACTTAATTGCTTTCTTTGCACATTACACATCTTGCTTTTAAGTGAGGCGAACCACAAGCGACGTGGTCGTTGGTTGTTGCAACACCAAGCGATATGCACACTTTTAAGCGCCTCGAAACGACAATGTGCATATCTTGGCATCCGATGTCATTCTGCAGAGTCCCCAAGTGTGTAAGATTGTCTGATCATTCGCGTTGTCAAGCCCGATACGAGATAGTTGTGCTTTTTCTAAGTGGATTTGTCTTATTAGATCCCACCAGTATAGGATAAAGTCAGGCTCCAAAGTTTCACTCAAATTGCAGCCTGAAAACTTCTTGTTTACAGTGAATTTTCCCATCAATAGTCTGATGTTTATAGAGTAGCAACTGAAACCTCATCGAATTCTCTGGGATCTGATACGAAGGCCTTATCATGCCAGTGTTACACAGAAATTGGGAAAATGACCTGTCTCCCAGGTTAGTGTCATAGCACAAAGCTAAGGCAACTTTTCAATAGGGGCTTTGTTTTTGAGGCTTTCCATGAGTTAGGCCGAGTCATAAAAAGTAACTTCTGTTTCAAGTGAAGTGGCAAATCGGTGAAGCAAAACGTCTCCTCGGAACGGGATAACAGATCAGGCATCAATACCCGTAAAGTATTGAGTACGCATGATACCAAACTGGGTAGTATTCATACTTGGAGTTTGGACGATGAAGAGGGCATGGCGTTGTGTGGCACCGGTAGTACGAGTGAGATAGACTTTGTTCCTGCATATTGGAGATTGTGCGTGACCCTCGGACCTCAGCGTGACAATGATGATCGAAACAAGAATGGTTTTGTGATAACTGAATCGTATGAGATGCTAATCAAAAAGAGGTCTGTGCCCATCTCGGTTGAGATCAAGTGACCTAAGTTAGCTGTACCTATTTCGATAAGTTAATTGTAATGATGTCAGAGATGTCCATCAAACGTGTAAGCGGATTCAGTACTGATTTAGGTGGAATAATTGTTTCAATCTTGAAAGGTTCATAATCCACTAGGTACTGTTAAACACGAGCGAGCTATAGCACCAGTCCGTATTCTCTTGACAGGAATCGTATTATATAAGGTAGGTAGGTAGTTCGTTCTTGGCACAAATGAACGGCGTAAGTCCATAAGGTAAGGTAAGTAGGTAAGGTACTCGTATATCATTGCACAGCCTCAAATATTCATAGATGTCTACTTCTTCAACGAGGCTTTTTAAGTTAAGAGCGATCTGGGGTAAACTGGAATGATCTACCGGAAGCATCACCCGGCTCCTGCCTTGTTGGATGATTCAGATTCATTTGGTGAGCCATATCGATATCTCGGCGAGATACATCTAAAGTTAGGCAACACGGCAAACACAACACATTAGCTTTTTCCCCTCCAGGAAGAATAGACTCTGTTTTCCTGTAGCCAATATATACTCTCAATTTAAAAGTCAAAATGCCCATCTAGCAACGTGTAAAGTGAAGCCAAAGGCGTTAGAGCAAGATAACAAAATAAGGTGTTTGTTTTCAACACAACATAATATAAGGCGTTATACACTACGCCAAAAAAAAAAAAAAAAAAAAAAAAAAAAAAAAAAAAAAA